GCAAAAAAGGAGTGCCCTGTTGACTTTCACATGAATGTTCGAAAGGGCAATAAATTTTCCTTCAAAGCGGGCGCAATATGACTTCACAGGGAGCGTACACTCTGGAAAAAAGGGAGCGATTTTTCTCAAAAAAGAGAGTAAAATCGCTAACTCTGGTTTCACCCCCCCTTTCACTCTGGGAAAGGAACGAATTTGCTCCATCACCAAGGAGTAAAATTGCTCTCCTCCGTGAGTAAAACGCTCCCCTCAGAAGAAGATATGGATGTCATGCAAATACGCAAACCCTCTTTAGACTGTAAGCCGCTTTCGCTCTCGATTTTGTCAGTACAGGCATTGACCTACGTCTGACTGTACATGTCAGAGGATGGACCACCTCTTACGGTTTCTTAAAGTGTCTGCGATACGAGTTCTTAATTTCCTCGTTCTGTCTATAAGTTGAAGAAATAGTAGAACTGAGCTCACGGACGATCTAGATTCAGCTATGTATTCTAGATCACCTCTGCGGTACGAGCGATGAGGGAGCATTTGGTGAGTAATAAGAGAGTACATTTGAAATAGGTCACACAGGGCCGGATTAAGGGGAGGGGGGCAAAGGGGGCAGTTGCCCCGGGTCCCACTCTTCCGAAGGAAATTAAAAACGTTAAGTACAAAAAAGGATTGTATTTGCGTAAAGTGGCATTATAGCATTGGCTGAATTACCCCAATAAGCTGAAATGGAATTGAAGATAGGAGGATGTATCTTTTCTTGGCCTTGGCCTTCTTTCCCTAATACCATTGAAATAGCGGCCACGTAAGCGCCGTCTCGCTTCATTTGTGGGAAGCTTTNGTTCCCTTCTCTCTTTCCCTGGAATCGTCCCTCGCAGGATTGTTTAGTACCTTGCCATACGTCTCGCCTAGTCCCATTATAGGAATCAATAAACACGGACACTTCATCATTTGTTATCCACATATTCAAGACATCGCTCCCCTTTTTCTAGGCGTGTAGGGCGGCAGTCAACATTTGTATCTGGGCGAGACATCTATCTCAGTTATTTCAACAAAAAAGCTTCCCACAAATGAAGCGAGACGGCGCTTACGTGGCCGCTATTTCAATGGTATTAGGGAAAGAAGGCCAAGGCCAAGAAAAGATACATCCTCCTATCTTCAATTCCATTTCAGCTTATTGGGGTAATTCAGCCAATGCTATAATGCCACTTTATCCCACCTCAGAATTTTCTGTTTTCGACTCTGCATGCCGCTACATTAAGATCAAGTTTGTTTTTTGAACTTTCAGCATGTCTCTATTCTCTGATAACAAATGGGTAATCTCTTTTTTCCCCCCAGGATTTCCGTAACACACGAAGTCCACAAATTTCATGTTCTAGCAGTTTTGCCCTTCGCAAAGAGCTGCAATAGTTTATTTTTGCTAGGGCATTTCCAAAAATATTGACTCAAATATTTGCTTCTTATTGTCTCAATATGCTTCACATTCAAACACCACATGACCATCATCTTCCCCTTTTGAGCAATAAGAGTACTTATATTCCAAAGACCCAGCTCTCCTTTTATAAGTACCCAGTCGAAAGTCGGAATACAGCTTGAGTACTCCCTCAGGCACTTTCACGTGCCTGAGAGAGTACTCAAGCTGTATTCCGTGCCATCCCGAAGATTTCTTTATGTCCTCGACAAACGAAGGGGGGCAGAGGGAAGGGTGCTGAGCCAATCAGCTGAGGGTGCTAAGCAAAGCCGTTATCAGACTCTGTGACTTCCCTCCTATGTCATGCCTACTCATATATGATCTACGAGCTCGGGTAATCTGCGGTTTATCTGCTCATGAACCCTGATTACACGAGCTCGTAGAGGGAGGAGCGGAGGGAAAAAAATGAGAGAGGGGGGGAGGAGAGGTATTAAGTTAGAGCCCTAACCTCATGATACTTGCAAGTTGGAAGAATTTGTTTTGAGTCGTACGGATTGCAACGTATTATACCTGTGCACTAACAAAAACAAAACAAAAAAATCAGCGATGGAGGCAAGTAAAGGAGCATGTATTCAAATTCATAGACCCTGAGCTGTCTACCCCTTCTGGATCCCGTCTCACACTCTCATTCCCCTACTTACGATGACACAAATTATTTAGAGGGCCGTGTGTAGCTCTGTCTCGAATGCGGCAAGCCAGGATTCCGGGTGATTTCCTTGTTCCCAGCCAGGGATCAGATCAAGTCTGTACCGAGGATATTTGGCGCCCTGTGCGAGATATCAATCCAGCGGCCCCCCCTCCCCCTCCACCTCTCACTCTGTTCCTCTCCAGCTTCCCCAGCACCAGCAATAAATTACATGATAAATAAATTACATATTAATTTATATAAAAATAAATAAAATATTTCTTTGTTTAATTTAGTTAAGTTCAGGATAATATTTCATTGGAATAAAATTAATCAATATATTCTAAACAATCAATACAATACTTCATTTATTGTTATTATTATTCTGGATAATCAGAATCATGGGCGAATGTCTCATCTGAATGGAGAGTTTTTTTTTGCTTCATTTCAAATTATTGCATTCTTTCTAATCTTTGTTGTATTCTTGTACCAATTCTTGAGCCAATCAGCACCCCTTGAGGTCAGCGCCCTGAGCAAAATTAGGGATTGGGGGCCGAAACCTTTATTTTGTATTAGTATTTGAGACTAAGGGGCTCATTTCAAATCCGAAAGAAAAATTCACGTATTAGTCCTACTGTTTTGTGTCAAGGAATTGCAATTTGTTTCAATTTTTACCAATTTTGCAGTGATTTGGCAGCCAATTGGCGCTAATCAAGTCGGCGTCCTGTGCGGGTGCACCCCTCGCAGTCCCCTCGGTACGGCCCTGCCGGGTATACCCCACCGCTCAAGGTTTTATTTTTTTAATGGTATGGTAGGTGATATAAGGAAATGTCTAATGATGCATACCCCCTGTGACTCAGACATTCACCACTCCCTAACACGCCCCTCTTCACTGTGATGTCACATTTACCATGCTATGTATTTTCCGCTGGCACTTTATGTTCACGTGGGGAGTCATTCCAGTATGATTGCGTTATTGCCCCTCATCTATCAAATGCGGAACCGGAAGTCTTGATAACTGACGCTGCACAGAGGAGGTGGGGCCATGGGTAGGGCATAACGATGCATTCAATTGTCATGCGCAATGGAAATAGCACAAGATCCTTGGAATGATGACACTAGATGGCACCAAACGCCGCCGCCATCATGTCGGCAACTAGGGTTCACCGTTAGTACTGGTAAAAAGGTTGTCGCATTACCGGGTTATGACTAGTTCTAGAAATAATAACACTATCGATAACATCAGACAGAAACGCCGTTGATACGCTGTGCTTTGCTAGGCTTTCTATGGTCGGAGGGTGGATTTTAGCATTCATTTGAGGGTTCCAGCCGCGCCTATCATCGTCGATGGGGAATTTTCTTTCGGTCTACAGCCCCGCACCCGTGGATCTCCTTTTATTATCGAACCTAGCGAAGCTTTCGGCTTCTTAACTCTTAAGGCATCCTATGCTCACCAAGTTTTCCCAACTGCACTAATCTGTAGCCCCCTATACTCGTTTGGAGCGCCACTGCCATGGGACTCACTTTTTCATAGTGATTTTACTTGTAATTAATACCAGCTTTAGCATTTTCCATGCTGATGTTATGAGGAGTCAGGAAGTGCAACTCACGAACTATCTTTGACTTGTGTCAAGGATGAATTTTGAAAATTGGAAGTGAAATCACTGTAAGTTGAACTTTGCAGCTTCCTAACTTCATGATGCCTTTCTGCTTTTACCAATCTTGCAATGTTTTGCTAATGAACTCACACCACCTTTTCCGTTGTTCAATGTTGTTTCCATTGTGTATCAAAGATGGGGGTATATCTCTCTTGATACAAAATGATGGATTGATGGAGTGCATGCTCTGGGCAGTGTGAATTCAGTTGCAAATTACTGTCAAACCTCTTTCCATGTCCAGTTTGCAGCTCCACTCCTAGGGGTTTTGGGTATGGTACATGGTGAGCTAGATGTTCTATTACCTCTAAGACATTGAGTCCACAGGGTTAGCCTTCATTGTTATGACAGATGTATCCTGTGAAAGTCCAACACTGACTTCGTTTTTGAGCCTATCTCGGAGCCATTGTAGTGGTTACTGTTAGCTTATTTACTGTAGAAATGGTAGACAAAATTAGACTGTAGGCCTAGATAAATGGTAATAAATAAAAGTTTCACCTCATGTTTTGTTATCCCTGTTTGATAGGAGAGAGGAAGGCAGTTTCAGAATGTTAGACCCAGTGGAGCAAAAGTGGAGAAATTAAGTCTAGTTTGCCAATATGGTCACAAGCACTTCTTGGATGAATTGAGAAATGGATAAAAAGACATTATTTCGATTTTTTTTGGAAGGCAAGAAGGATGAGAGTAGAGGACATTTTTCTATTCTCATTCCCTGCTAATGGAATGAGAGTAGAGAAATGTTCAAATTTGCAGTAGGAAGCTAAAAGTCTCAACTCCTTTGTGGGAAGGCAAGCCATCTTTAGGTGTCATTCTTCAGTCCTAAAAAATGGCATGTTCCTTGAAACCTCAAAATGTCTTATATACCCTTTTGTCAGAACTGTGACAACAAGGCTTTAATTTTTCCCTAGTTATATTGGATGAAGCATTAAGGTAGGCTCAGGAAGTGTAGAATAGGTTTAGTAGAGAATGAAAAAATTAGAGGATTTAGGTTGGCATATCCTTGGGTCAGTAACAAGTGAACAATCATATTGGTACACTGTTTTGAGATTGAATTGGTAACCCCCCCTAGGAGCACTTCCATTAAGTACAGGTGGGACACCTTGTGGATGGAAGGTGAAGTATTAATAAAACCATCCAAGAACCGTCCGGAGCAGCAGGCTTGACATCTAGAGGATCAACTGGAAAGCTTGTGTTTTCACCATTCTTCACAATAGGGGGATATAAATTCAATCCGATAACAGTGTATCTGCATTGTTTAGTGCAGGGGTGTCAAACTGGCAGCCCACAAGCTGGATCCAACCCGTCAGTCCATACTGTCTGGCCTGTGAAGTCCTCTCAACAGTTGGTTACGGAAATGAACTGCAAATTTCAGCCTGTTTGCATTAAAGATAAGGTGTTTCATTTTTGTTGTCGTCCCTGATCACCCCTGAAGACTTCCATCAAGCCCCCAGTCTAATCGAGTTTGACACCCATGGTTTAGTGTAATGTTTTTTAAGGGGACAGATGACTGCCTCTTAACATGACCTCCATCCTTGCTCTGTTTTTTATCTGTGGGGTTAAATGAGCATTTTTAGAAATTGAATCACCTATGAGTCCTATTTTAAATGTATCAAGTGTATATGGTGTTATTTCTAGGTCTATAAAGTTAGAATTGATTTAATTTTGACTTTGAGAGGTATGTGCACATCACTCTGGTAGGCATAAGGTAGTGGCATGTAGTTTAGAACTTAGATCATGCACAAAACTCAATGTGCACAGGTATTCCAATGCATGTGTTCAGTTAGCTCTGGCATGGACACCTGAGTCCCTTTTCATGCTGTTTTATTTCCTGTTTCACTCACTTTCTCTAATGGGACACAAACGTCAACTTCATTTTCTGCCTTGCAAGATGCCTGTAACCTCCTCACGTGATAGTGCATTTTTCATAGGTTTTTAATTTAAGCCTAATATTTGAAGCCTGTCTGCTGTCATTTTCTGTATTACCAAGGTGAAAGGGAGAGAATTGGAAATAAGAAAGAATGGATCCCGTAACCCCAAAAGAAGTGCGAATATTGGAAACAGCAGAAGACATCCAGGAAAGACGAGAACAAGTGTTGAATAGATATGCACAGTTTAAAACAGATGCTCGAGTGAAGAGAGAAAAGCTTGAAGATTCAAGGAAGTTCCAGGTTTGGCTATTCTTCATCCTCTCATTTTCCACATATTTGTTGCCATAGACTGGTGGTTTTCAAACTTTGAGTCCCCAAGAACAGAGCAATTCGTCTTTTTTTTCATGAAATATAAAAAAAAAAAGTGGACTAGGATGGATGCACACGGACAAGGACAAATGCCTAGCAGCTGAACTCATAAAGGGGAGGGGGGATCCAAATCAGACATCTATGATAGCTATGCTACACCTTTCCTTACTTTCTTTCTTAATACATCATGTTTTCATGGGCCCAGGCAAGATGATGGCAACTCTCATGCCACTCAGGTATGAGCCCTTCCATCACTTTGCCTCAGGGTAACAGGGTCAATTTGTGCTATTTAGATACACCAAACCCAGTATCTCTTATATTGGAGCAGAGTGGCCTATGCTTCAGCTCAAGGGTACTCAAGGGTGGTACTCAAAAGCAGCCTAGTGAACTGTTGAGCCAGGAGAATGCTACTTGCTGCCAGTTGGATTCAAACCTGTGCCTCTCATGCAGTAGCCTGAGACCCTATTCACCGTGCCACAACAGCACAGAAGACCACATCATCATGCCTCACCCCTCTGATTAAAAATCTATTGCAGGCACTTATATGGTTCTTTGGTTCTGTAAATGTTCCTTCACATCTCATTGTTTGCCATTTTAAATAAATAATTTTGCTTCTAAATCTCTATCTCTCCTTTTAGGGAGTTTGCTCAAAAAATTGAAAACTGCCACCTTTGACTATCCTTTTGTAATATAGGCCTAGCATTGGCTACAATGCCATGTTTTATTGGTCATATAGACTTGTTATTGCCACTCCTACAACCTTGTATCATGGAAAAAAAAAAAAAAAAAAAAACAAACAAAAAAACCTGCTTTTTCATTGCTTTTATTAATCCTTCAGTGTGTGGGTTATACTTTGTTCTAGATGTAATCAGGAATGCTCCAGTAAGGAGATGAGAGAACTGCAATATGCTGGTTATTATAGGATGAAAATAACAAATTCTTCTGTGATCCCTCTTCATGAAGTTAATGAGACAACTTCTCACGGAGCAGTTTCAGGAGAAACTCCTCAATCTTTGAACAATAATAGAATGAGGCTTCATTGCAGGACTGATCATTTTGGTCCCATACTAGGTGTATGGGACTTTTTCCCCATTAAAATTTCATTTTCCATATAAGGTCATCATTCCATAATTGTTGGTGGGGGATCCTAGTAGTGGAAACTGCCTTCTGAAGTGCAATTTATCACCTTGGTGGAATGAAGACAACATGTAGCTGTTTTTTGCACCATAATAAAGATTGAAAGAAACTAATATTTCATAGTTGAAACTGCTCATTCAAATAATTCTGAATTCAGTATTATATTAAAGGATGAGATAAGTTGCATTGAAGAAGATATTTAAAAAAATTGATGCAGTTTGAAAAGGAGAATAGAAAAAGAATGGAACATTTCAGATTTGTAATATTCATGGTTACCTATTAGCTTCAGAAAGATGAACCCATGAATGTTGCTATCCTATAGATGGGTCCATCAAATGCTCTAACTTATTTTATTCTGAAAGTTTTTAACTAATTACATTATGTTATATATTTCTTTTTCCAGTATTTTAAAAGAGATGCAGATGAGTTAGAATCATGGATTTATGAGAAGCTACAAGCTGCTTCTGATGAAAACTACAAAGACCCAACAAACCTTCAGGTGAGATGATTCCCTTTATAGCCCTTTTAAACCTATTCAGACCAAAAGGCATTGGTACATGCCAATTTTGAAATCCTTCGACTCATATTTAATATCCACCTTCGATGGACAGAGAAATGGAGTATACTTATTTTACATATTCATAGTGATACTGGTGGAATGAAGTGGCATGTGTACATGCCATCAGGTGTTGCTCCTTAGAGGAGCACAGTTAGCAGCTTGCATTTGGTGGGCATAAAACAAGCCTATAAAAGCTAATGTTGGAGGATCTGATTCAACTGTGTTGCTAGGCTTTGCCAATCATTAGGCTGACATTAGTAGCAATTTATGGTCTTTAGGGCAAGAGTAGCAACAGCTTCACACAATAGTTTATTTCATATGAAATTCCTTGAAACATTTCTTCTGGAGTGAATTGATCCTCATGGGAAACCTCAACATATTGGTCAACATTGATGGGCTCAACACATCATCATTCTCAGACAGGTCAATGTCATTGCCTATGTGCTGATCAAGGAGTTCTGTGTATTTGGTCACTGAAACGAGTTTGTCCATTTTTGGCCTTGTTACTGATTTTCATACTATATATTCCATTTGAAAGGTTTTCATAGTCAAACTCAAGGAATCAAAATCTGACCCCTTTTGAAATGTTAGATTAAGTTAGATTATATTGCATTACATTAGGTCTGCCTAGTTTTTGCCCCTGAAGTGTTTATGATGAAATAAGTATCTTTTGAATTGGTAGTTGTTTCTCATGAAAAAAAAAAATTTCATTTAAAAACGATCCAAATTTTTTAAGAGTTTTGAATTCAAAACCTTAGTTAGGTTTAGTAAGGTTAGAATGTTTTACACTAAAAGTTGTACATACATTTTGACTTGGTGAATTGAGCTCTATCCAATGAAAGGAATATCAAAAGGGCCCTAAAAATAGCACCATCCTTTGACTTTTCATCAGAGAAAATAATACTGCATTTTTTTTTATTATTTGAGCAAATCTCAAATGGTATGGTAATGGTATAAGGTTGAAATGCCATCAACTAATTTTATATAATCATGCAGGAAATATTATGCATAGGTGAGAGTTACTTTTGTAAAACTAGAATTTAAAAGTAAAACAAAAACTGAAAATTATGAATACCTCTAATAATGAATGGCAGCTTTTTTCATTTGAATTCCATATAAATGAAAAGTGAGAAATTGCAAGTAATTCAACTGGAAATGCTTGGAAGGGTAGTTGAAGCTTCTTTGACTGCTGTGGTACCTGGATAGAAAGTGACAGCATTCATGTTGAAAAATTGTTGCCATTTGCTGTCAGAGGGTTTTTTCAGTCTTGTCAGTTTTTGGTTTGTATGTAGTGCATTTCTAGGTTCATAAAGCTGACTGATGAATAGTTTTTCTTAATATTTGTTTGAACAAATCAGTTTTTAACTCATTTGCTCCATTTAATGTTCCTTCTTTTTATGGGAATAGCTACTATTCAAAATTGATGTTGATTATTTAACAAGGGATACTCCATATTTACATAAATGTGAATGGGAGAAATCTATTCTTCCCCTTCATGGCTGTGAGGAAATCTCATTTAGTCCATAATGTGAAAGAGAAGTTTTAGGGTGTATAAGGTTTAAAGGCTTCTGTGATTAGGAATATTCAAAGGCTTCACCCAATCCCAAGCAAGTTACAAGGTGATCCTTGCCTCTACAGGGAAATGATTTTTTAAATTTCTCCTGAATGATTTTCTCTGGCATAACTGCAACATTTATGTGAACTGAATTCTTACTCTTCATTACATGTAATTGCATGCTTCAGTTATTTCCAATTTCACTGAGAGAAGGCATTTCCATTGGTTTGATCTGCATCAGAAGAAAAGCAATCTTCTATTTTCCATAAAGGTAGCCAAAAATGGGATGCAATTCCTGATGCAAGTCTGTTTGTCTTCTAGGCCAAGATCCAAAAGCATGAAGCTTTTGAAGCAGAGGTAAATGCACATAGCAATGCCATCATTGTTCTGGACAACACAGGAAAAGAAATGATTGAGAGCAGCCACTTTGCAGCAGATGTCATCAAGCAACGAATGGGTAAGGTGTCCTATGCTGTACTTGAGTAGCATTCATGTTGCATGTTGAGTATACTTGACACATGGTAGAAAATGTGAAAATAATGTAATGAGGGAAAAATGTCTGTGTAAACAGCATAGGTTTTTTGACTTGTCATTTTAGAGGAGTTGAAGCGCCTGTGGGAATTGCTTCTGTCCAAGTTGGCAGAGAAAGGGTTGAAGCTCCAGCAGGCACAGGTGTTGGTGCAGTTTCTCAGACAATGTGATGAAGTCATGTTTTGGATCAGTGACAAGGTAAGGAAAATAGGGAACCTTGAAGGAATTTGATGTATGACTTCATTGCTTATGCCATTAAATTGTGTTTATATCAAATAAACATTTTCACTTTTAATACAGGAGACCTTTGTGATGGCTGATGACTTGGGGCATGATTTGGAACATGTAGAAGTCTTGCAACGAAAGTTTGATGAGTTCCAGAAGGACATGGCATCTCAGGAGTATCGGGTTGCTGAAGTGAATGCGCTTGCTGACAAATTGGTTGCTGAACAGCACCCAGACAGTGGTCAGATCATACGGCGAAAGGAGGCATGTCCTGAGTCATCATGTTCTAATTCACATTTGATCTCACTGCTCCTACTCAAATGCTTCCTTTGTTTTTAGGAGTTAAATGAAGCATGGCAGCAGTTAAAGCAGCTGTCATTGATGCGACAAGAGAAGTTATTTGGAGCACATGAAATTCAGCGCTTTAACCGAGATGCAGATGAGACTATTGCATGGATCACTGAAAAGGATGCCATGCTGTCATCAGATGACTTTGGACGTGATTTAGCCAGTGTTCAGACACTTCAGGTGAAAAATCTTTTAAAGGCATTCATTACATTCATAAATTAAGAATGGAACTTTGAAATTTACTTTTATTTTTAGCGTAAGCATGAAGGGATCGAGCGTGACTTGGCTGCCCTTGGTGACAAAGTGGGAATGCTGGGTCAGGAAGCAGGGCGTTTGTGTGGGATCCATACTGATCATGCTGGTCAAATCAAAGATAAACATGATGAGATTGTCAACAACTGGGAACAACTGGTGACTAAAGCCCAGGAACGCAAGCAAGGCTTGGATGAATCATTTCTTCTCCATCGCTTCTTGGCTGACTTCAGGGATCTTATTTCATGGATCAATGACATGAAGGCCATCATATCAGCTGATGAGCTAGCCAAAGATGTTGCTGGTGCTGAGGCCCTTCTGGAAAGGCATCAGGAGCACAAGGTGATGTTTCCTGTCCTGAAAGAAGTTGTAGTATTCTGACACATTCAGGGATTGCTAAATGTGATGATTTATCATTTTATGAATGATCAGGGAGAGGTGGATGCTCGTGAGGACAGTTTCCGTGCAACAGCTGAAGCAGGACAGGAGCTTCTGGATAAGGAGCACTATGCATCCGAAGAAGTGAAGGAGAAACTGATCTTACTGGCTAACGAGAAGACATCCTTGTTATCACTCTGGGAGGAGAGGCGCATTTTGTATGAGCAATGTATGGACCTCCAGCTGTTCTACCGTGATACTGAACAGGCAGATACATGGATGGCCAAGCAAGAGGTTTGTTTTTGTCTTCCCTAACCAAGTTTGTTGTCTGATTGCATAATTTCAACATTACTGATTCAGTTCTCTTGTTTTAGGCATTTTTGGCCAACACAGACCTTGGAGACTCTCTGGATTCTGTTGAAGCACTCATCAAGAAGCATGAGGACTTTGAAAAATCCCTAGCTGCCCAAGAAGAAAAGATCAAGGCATTGGATGAATTTGCTACCAAGCTGATAGAGGGCCAACATTATGCAGCTGATGATGTGGCACAGAGGCGTGCCATGGTGAGTAGAGTCACATCATTAACATAAAATATCTTCATTAAATGAGAAGTATTCAGAATGCCCAAACACTTATTATCGGTTAAACTAATGGTTTATTGTCCTGATGCATTGGCAGATAATCTATACTGTAGAGTGATTATGCCTATGCATCAGCTGATGTTATTTTCATTGGCAGGGCGATAAGAATTGACCAGTCAGGGGAAACATGGATGCCTGACTTTCCTCCCCAGTCTTTTTATTTTTTAATAGAAAATGCATCACAGAACTTCAGTGAAGGCAAAAAAAAAAACATTTGTGAACATTGTATGCTAGGCTTATGCCTGAAGTATATGAAGCCTTTAAATTAGTAGGACTCAATAAAATGCATACTGACATTAATGAATGAGGTCGTATCACAACCTTGCTGATCTCAGCTGGCAAGCATCAAATTATGCCACACCTCATTTGGGTAATCATATTCCATACCATGAACTTCCACAGTGGAATTATGAGTCTGCATTTTTCTTTTGCTGTTTTCAACTGATAAGATTACTTTCCTGTCACTTTTCTACATGAATAGCATAGAAAATCTGTTAACTACAAAAGTCCCTGAAAGAAATGACTTGACATAATATTAAGATTTGGTATCTCTGTTGGAATTAATTATTCAAATTTTTTTTTCTGATATTCTAGCTTCTGGAACGAAGGTCTGCCCTGCTGGAGAAGTCAGCTGCTCGAAGGGTCATGCTTATGGATTCCTTTCGCCTGCAGCAGTTTGAAAGGGACTGCGATGAGACCAAAGGATGGATCAATGAGAAGCTGAAAGTTGCTCAAGATGACAGCTACCTTGTCAGTGGAATATATTCCTAATGTTAAAAAGTGAGGTGGCTTTGGTACAAGAAATCTTATGCATTATGAAATTGATTTTATAGGATCCAACAAATTTAAATGGGAAAGTACAGAAGCACCAGAACTTTGAACAGGAGCTGAATGCCAATCGTTCCCGACTGGAAGAGATAACTTCAACAGGACATGAACTTATTGAGGCTGATCACTATGCATCTGGTACAGTAATACTATCACAAATGGATAGTCTATGATTAGTGATGTATTCCCAGAAGAATCTCTGCCTACATCAGGCTCTCACTTTTTAGATCGCATTCAAATGCGAATGGAGGAGATAGTGAAGCTATGGGAGAGCTTGGTAGAGGCAACTGAAAGAAAGGGATCAAAACTCCTTGAGGCATCTCAACAGCAGCAGTTCAACCGTGGTATTGAGGACATTGAACTCTGGCTCTCTGAAATTGAAGGCCAACTCATGAGTGAAGAGAGTGGCAAGGTAATTTAATTTATTCTCCTTCTTGAGGTTCTTTTCCTTGTGAGAACTTGAATGTGAGCTATTGTCCCTCTCCGGTCAACAGGATCTGACAAGTGTGCAAAACCTCCTCAAGAAACACCAGCTGCTTGAGACAGATGTGTCATCACACCAGGATCGAATTGATGGAATTCGTATAGCTGCACAGCGCTTCGAGGAGAAGGGCCACTTTGATGCAGAGAATATAAGGGATAAGCAGATTGCCTTGACACAGCGATATGAAAGGCTCCTTGGTCCAATGTCTCAGAGGCGTCAACGTCTTCAGGACTCCTTGCGTGTCCAGCAGCTCTTTCGAGACATTGAAGATGAGGAGTCGTGGATCAGGGAGAAGGAACCCATAGCTGCATCCAATAACCGAGGTGGGTCTTTTTTAGTGACTTCATAGCAGTTTTGAACCTTTGATGCAATCTGATGTCATGCCTCCATGGGGGAATGCCTTCTAGTATCAACCAGTCATGAAGAATTATTTTTGAATAAACCTTTTTGCTCAGCCAAAAAAAAAAACATGGGCACATATTTGTATCACAAGGAATTTTCTTTCTTCTTTCTTTGATATACAATGTGTACTCTACAGGTCGTGATCTGATTGGAGTGCAGAATTTGATCAAGAAACACCAAGCAGTATTAGCTGAGATCCACAACCACGAGAGCCGAATTGTGGCCGTTGGGCAGCAAGCCAAGAACATGATCAGTGAAGGACATTTTGCAGCTGAGGAGGTGAAGAAGAGAGTTGGTCAACTCAATGAGCACTGGAGTCAGCTGAAAGATCGAGCCCTTCAAGTTTGTCTCTTTCTTTTTTTTTGTCTCTCCATCATCATTTCAACTTCCTTCAACTTTTAAGGTTTTATTTGTAGCGAAAGCAAGACTTGGATGACTCCCTTCAAGCACACCAATACTTTGCTGATGCCAACGAAGCAGAGAGCTGGATGAAAGAGAAAGAACCGATTGTAAACAGCCTGGACTATGGCAAAGATGAGGATTCATCTGAGGCCCTCCTCAAGAAGCATGAGGCTCTCATGTCTGATCTGGAGGCTTTTGGCAACACCATCCAGGCCCTGAGGGACCAGGCTCGATCCTGTCGGGTAAGGTCGACGTGTGGTACATTTGTTTGATTCTGTAATAGCCAAAATAAGCATGTAGGTATAATAAAGGGTACCTTTAAATCTGATTGCAGCAACAGGAAGCACCAATGGTGGACATGACTGGGAAGGAGTGCGTGATGGCCTTGTATGACTATACTGAGAAGAGCCCTCGAGAAGTTTCCATGAGAAAGGGTGATGTCCTGACCCTCCTCAACTCCAACAATAAGGTATGGGACTCTTGTAATTTATTCACCTGGAACCTTTGTTATTTTTATCTTTTTGTGAAATGTTTGTTGCATTGTCTTTGCTCACGTTGGACAGGATTGGTGGAAGGTGGAAGTGAACGATCGACAGGGATTCGTTCCTGCTGCTTACGTGAAGAAGCTGGAGGCCGGTCTTTCTGCATCCCAGCAGGCTCTTGCAGAACAGGGCTCCTTGCCGGCAAGGCAGAGTCAAATCGAAGCCCAGTATGATGCCCTGATGCAACTGGCGCGGGAGAGGCAGAAGCGACTCGGCGAGACCGTCCAAGCATACGTGTTGGCACGAGAGGCAGCTGAACTCGGCCAGTGGATTAAGGACAAGGTCTCAATGGTTTTTTTCTACTACCATCTTGCTGCATAGTTCAAATTACATTTTAAGTCTACTCTTTCGTTCTGCAGGAGCAATATGCAGAAGTCCAGGATGTAGGAGAGGACCTGGAACAGGTGGAAGTGATGCAGAAGAAGTTTGACGACTTCCAGGCGGACGTGAAGGCCAATGAAGTCCGACTGGCAGAAATGAACGAGATCGCCATGCAACTCATGAGTCTCGGCCAGACCGAAGCTGCACTCAAGATCCAGACTCAAATTGAGGTTAGAGTGTAGGCCTATTTTTAACAGCATTATTATGCGTTTAGCGTCGATCGCATTCATTGGTGTCGAAGATATCTTACCCGATTGGAGATTTCTCGAGCTTTCTCAAGCTTTCGTGAAGGTGATTCAATCATCGAAGGTTTTTTAAATCTCGCAATCGCAGGATCTGAACGTGAAATGGACGAACCTGCAGCAGCTGACACAGGAGAGGGCCCAGCAACTCGGATCGGCTCACGAAGTTCAGCGTTTCCACCGAGATGTCGACGAGACTAAGGACTGGATTCAGGAAAAGGATGAGGCATTGAACAACGAGGACTATGGGAAGGACCTTCGCAGCGTCCAGACCCTTCAGCGCAAGCACGAGGGTCTCGAGAGGGATCTTGCTGCTCTCAGTGACAAGGTGGGTCGCTTCGCCTACACTTTTTAATAGAATGAACTGATGGAATCAGTATCACAGCATCGACCGATACTCGCACTATTGGTTGTACAGGTTCGTCTATACATTTACTTGCCGACGCACGTTACTTACACAGAATCTAGGATCGTCTCCTGATATTTAGTCAACCCTGGTTAATCTTAACTTTCTTAGAGGTACTTATGTTCGTATTAACGGTCGTTCAGATTAACCCTTGCTTGGCCAAAATAATCCACAATGAAAGAAGCTTATCTAAATAAATTACTGTGGTCCGTGGTGGTGTGTGGCATGCGCGCGCACAGCAAGATCACAAGGAAGAGAACGTTGCCGTACGTAACTGCCCGTCCGTGCCGAAAAAGGATGAGGTGCTATGACCCGTATGGGCTTCATATTTCTTATCGCTTATTAAATTCATGAAAACCCGGGGCTGATTTATATGAGCGAAAGAAAGAAAAAAATGAAAAAGGAACCGGAGGCAGGAAGTGGGAAAGGAGGAGGGGGTAACGACCGGGGTATATATTTTTCTCTTAATACTCAGTCTTCGTGAATCCCATTTCACGTGGTTCCTTTTGTGAAGGTGGAGTGTTTGTCTTGAGTGTGCGTCATCTTTGATGGATTCCCACCCTTCCTAGTTCTAGTACTCGCGTGAGCGAGAGGCAGAAACGATTTCGCCAAGGGCGGGAATCCATCAAAGTTGAACTTGGTGGACGACTATCGACATGCCGCAAGGAAAATTGAACGGGCCCTTTCTGAGCTCGTCTGCAGTGACCGCCAAGAGTCAATCATTACCTTGGCAATACTATGGGATTTCTAACTAGTCGCGGGGTGACATTGCTCCTCCATCATCTGGTACGCACCGGACCTCGCACCTTGTGACTTGACGCTGTTACCTAGAATGAAGTGCCTTCCGAAAGACCGCCGCTTTGACGACAGACGCTCTCCTGTCAACTGCGACTAACGCTTTGAAGGCGGTTTCCAAGAACGAGTTACAGCCAGTGTTCCAAGCTCTTTACAAACGTTGTTAGAAGTGTATCGGAAGTCAGGTGAACTATTTCGTAGAGTTTCACTCTGAAACGTTACTTCTGTACATAGTTTGCCCTACGAAGGCTGGTCTTACACGGGGGTTGTGGTCTGCTTGTGTACATTTGTTAGGGTAGGTTAGTTTATCTCTTTACGTACGCGTTCATATGAGTCGCACCTTATACGATTACCGAATATAGTGAATGTGTAGTCATTTGTACTTTCGATGAACTCTCTTGTCCTGGCACAACAATAATCTAGTTCTGAAAGCTGTGACTGGTCGATAGATTGCTATCGTATCGCATCTACTAAAGAAATGAACTCGTTTGATATTTGCAGCTTAGTGCCACTGACACTTCGCTCCTCGCATGGTCAAAGGTTAAGGGGTGCCCATGAGATGGGTTGCGGTCTCGTTCTCAGAGATTGCAAACGACCAAGACAACGACCAATTGAGAATAAACAAATTAATCTTAATGAATCTCGAGGGGGAAGAGTTGTTTTTTTTTTATATACAGCTGTTTGCGATTCTGGGTGGTATACATTGTTCCTTACCTTAATTCGTTTTGCTACGATGCATCGAAGTTTTGAAACCTGTCATCGTGACAGGCATAAGAAAGTGCTTAGAAATGGTCATTGAATGAAATTAGGCCGATGCATTCCGCTTCCGCATCCCCAGTTTCAAGGCAGCACCGTTTTTGGGTATCGGAGGCTGACGTCGCTTCCAGTTGGCTTGCGCCTCGGAGGTCGTGGAGAGATTCAGTTTTCAACGCAATCCCTGCGGATGGATTTTATATAAAAGGGAAGGGTGAAGACGGCTGCAGAATGCGAGGAGCATGCTCGATTCATCAATGACATGAGCATGGGCATTGCGCATACCTCATTCAAGGAAAGAGGAAGGGGGATGGAGAGGTTATGGCCCAGGGGGGGGGATAAGCTATGTTCTCCTTGGCTTTTGTACTCCACCATCCCTGGAAGCCCAAATTAACCGAATGAGAATGACTCAGGGAACCCCGAATCGTCCGCAATAATGGTATTTGCTTTCGAAATGAACGGAAGAATTTTATGTGGGATCACGAAATTACTATCACGACTATTTTATCCATAGGAAATGTCCCGATTGGATAAACGAGAGTTAGGTGTATCAACTTCAGGGTCAGGCCAGGCCTCGGTAGCTCACAATTCCGGCATTTCCATTGTCTACAATTTTTTTTTAATTCCCCGCACGGTTAAAAAAATGCAGCCTTTGGAGTCTTGGTATTGGAGCATGCGGTTTTCTCCCTTGACAAGTCCTCAAGTGACTATATTTGATGTATGTTTAACTTGTGACATTAGCGCACTATTATTGAAAGTTGCCGGTGTTTTAAACGCACTGAGTCGGGCGGTTAAGCACGTGTGTGTCAGGTCGCGAATTAGTCGCGAGTGAGACTCCGTAGATGGGTGGGTCTCAGAGAGAGAGGAGCTATGAAAATGTCAATTTCCCGGAAAGGAATCGAAAGGCGTGGCCCGGATGGGAGAATTTCTGTTTCTCACCTTCAAAGAGCCAGGAGACTTCTAACTTGAAAAAAAATTCTAATATAAATGCCAATTATCTAGTAGAGGGTGAGAAGAAAAAGAAATTGTGGCAGGGTCGTCTCCTACCTCCTATCAAGCCAGTTGGGGAAAATCTTGGGTGGGGGTAGGTTCCTTTGCGGAAATTTAGCACGGAGGAAGGTCCGGCCTGTTTAGGAAATTCTTCGATTAGAACCCGGAGCTATTTCGATAAAGTAGACAATCTATTTCACATTATGTATACTTTGGAATACCGGATACGCCTTGTTGACGAAAGTAAATGCCCATCCGCGCACAGGACGTTTCAGCAACACATACGGATTGCATCGCCTATGAATTTGGAGTCTGACCTCGTCTGACTTGGATGACAAGATGTACCCTTCTGCTACCATTCGTGACCAGTCTCTGGTACTCGTCTTGCAGAATAGCCTACCATAGGCAGATCCTAGTTTCCTTCATTTTCATGGGCGGACGTTAATTTTAGTTCACATAGTGTATGCTTAAATCAAGAGTATTGGAGTAGCAACAAAATGTATGTCTCGTTTTTATCTACTCTTCGGATCTGTGCAAAGTCTTGACCGACTGACCCTAGAGACACGTGTTTCTCTCCAGATTCGGCAATTGGATGAGACGGCACATCGCCTAATGCAGACCCATCCAGAAGCGGCGGAGAACATCCACCAGAAGCAGAGTGAAATCAATGAAGACTGGACGCAGCTTCAGGCCAAGGCAAATGCCCGCAAGGAAAAGCTTCTGGATTCTTACGACCTTCAGCGATTCCTTAGTGACTTCCGAGATCTAATGAACTGGATCCAAAGCATGAAGGTTCTGGTGTCGAGCGAAGAGCTGGCCGACGATGTGACTGGAGCCGAAGCTTTGCTCGAACGTCATCAGGTGAGGATTCTCACTTCACCTTCTTATCTGTCGTTGCTGTTTGAGGCCTTTCGTAACCCCTTCATGGTTTTGATATTCAATGATCGATCCAACTGGAGCTGTTTTGGTACTTGTCCAGGAGCATCGCACCGAGATTGATGCCAGGGCAGGAACATTCCAGGCTTTTGAGCAGTTCGGCCAGCAGCTCCTTCACTCAGGGCACTATGCATCGGCAGAAGTTCAAGAGAAGCTGGAACTCATGAATGAGGCCCATCAAGAGCTGGAGAAGTGGGTTAATTTTTCTCTGAGAAGTGGGCAATGCAGTACCCACATGTATTAAAGTAAAAGTGCACTCTGTTGGGTGTTTTGTCTAGGGCTTGGATTGCAAGACGCATGAAGCTGGATCAATGTCTGGAACTGCAGTTGTTCTATCGGGACTGCGAACAGGCAGAGAACTGGATGTCCTCCCGGGAAGCGTTCCTTGCCCAGGAAGAAGTGGACAGCAAAGGGGACAATGTAGAGGCTCTCATCAAGAAGCACGAGGACTTTGACAAGGCCATTAACGCTCAAGAGGAAAAGATCGCCTTGCTGCAAACTTTTGCCGATCAACTGATGCGGGCAGACCACTATGCAAACCGGGACATCGACGACAAGCGGAACGATGTCCTCGAGCGCTGGCACAAACTCAAGGAGGCATTGATTGAGAAGCGATCCAAACTGGGTGAGAGCCAGACCCTACAACAGTTCAGCCGAGATGCAGACGAGATTGAGACTTGGATAGCCGAGAAGCTCACCATGGCAACCGAGGAGAGTTACAAGGACCCGGCAAACATCCAGTCCAAGCACCAAAAGCACCAGGCATTCGAGGCCGAGCTTGCTGCAAATGCCGAGAGGATCCAGTCTGTCCTTGGCATGGGACAGAATCTCATCGACAAGCATCAGTGTGCCGGATCCGAAGATGCCGTTTCTGTGAGTCTCTTCTGTGGCTGCCATCATGTTTGGGTTACTCTTTCAGAATGGTTAAATGTATTTCTGCGTAAATCCACCAGGCTCGTCTCGTGTCCATTGCGGATCAGTGGGAATTCCTCACCCAGAAGAGTGCTGAGAAGTCCATGAAACTGAAGGAGGCCAACAAGCAGAGAACTTATATTGCTGCTGTCAAAGATTTGGACTTCTGGCTTGGAGAGGTCTGCATTTCATGCAGGGATCTCCTCAGTATTTCTCTTTATGGATAAGACTTCATTCATGAATCTGATTTCTTTTCATCAGGTGGAATCCCTTCTCACCTCAGAAGATTCTGGGAAAGACTTGGCCTCTGTGCAAAATCTCATCAAAAAGCACCAGTTAGTGGAGGCTGACATTCAGGCACATGAAGATCGAGTCAGGGGTAAATATCATTCCTCATGTCTTTACATCAGACCTTTCTTTTCATCTTGTCATTCTAAATATATACTGTTCCCTCTTCCAGACATGAATACCCAAGCTGACTCCCTGATCGACAGTGGCCAATTTGATGCATCTCCAATTCAGGAAAAGCGCCAGAGCATCAATGAGCGCTATGAGAGAGTGCAAAATCTGGCTTCACATCGTGCTTCTCGGCTCAACGAGGCCAACACCCTTCATCAGTTCTTCCGTGACATTGCTGATGAAGAATCCTGGATCAAGTATGATCATCTTTATAGAATCTTATATATTTTGTCAAGTTTCTCTTCTTTGAAGAACTCAAAATGGACAGTTGAAAATTATATGCTTTTTCATCTATTGTGAATTCTGATGAGTTTTTGCCTTTAAACAGGGAGAAGAAGTTGCTAGTAAGTTCTGATGATTATGGCCGAGACATGACGGGAGTCCAGAACCTGAAGAAGAAGCACAAACGCTTGGAATCAGAGTTGGCATCACATGAACCTGCAATTCAGTCTGTCCAAGAGGCTGGAGAGAAACTCATGGATGTTTCCAACCTGGGTGTTCCTGAAATTGAGCAGGTGTGTTTTCCCATTCATTTCAGATCAAAATCACAGAAGCCTGTCTTAGTTCAAAGTAATATTAGTTGTTCCTCTCTGTTCCTTTCAGCGCTTGCATGCCTTGAATCAAGCCTGGGTGGAATTGAAAGAACTGGCTTCTTCTCGTGGTCAGAAGTTGGATCAGTCCCTTATCTACCAACAGTTTTTGGCCAAAGTGGAAGAAGAAGAGGCTTGGATCAGGTCAGACATCTACCCTCTTGCCTCATTCCTCCTTCATGTAATGGGATTCATAAGCATTTTTTAATGGGTGAATGATTGACCTTTTTGCTATTATTACAGTGAGAAGCAGCAGCTGCTGTCTGTGGATGACTATGGGGACACTATGGCAGCAGTACAGGGACTCATCAAGAAGCACGATGCATTCGAGATGGACCTGACAGTCCATCGTGAGCGCTGCAACGACATCTGTAATGCCGGTGAACAGCTGATAGGTGACAGAAACCATCATGCCGACAGCATTGCCCAACGATGTCAACAACTCAAGGTCTTTGTCTCTCCTTTGATACTTCCTCTCTTTCTTGAAAGAACTTGGGTGAATGACCTCTTCCTGCTCCTTGGGTTTCACTCTAGGATAAACTTCAGGCTTTGGCTGGCATGGCCCAATTACGAAAGGGGAAACTGATGGACAACTCAGCTTACCTCCAGTTCATGTGGAAGGCAGATGTAGTGGAATCTTGGATTGCGGACAAGGAATCGCACGTACGATCAGAGGACTTTGGACGGGATCTCTCCTCTGTCCAGACGCTCCTCACCAAGCAGGAAACATTTGATGCTGGTTTGTTCTCACATCCTGTCAGAAGGAAGCAGTAGAGTTCCATTTAGGATAGTAGCAAAAAAATATTCAAGAAAATAATTTTGTCCCCATTGTAGTGCTGTAGAAGCACTTGCAAAATCTGGTCTACATTGTGAAGGTTGTCAATATTGCTGCCCAAATGTCAGGAGTCAGTAATGCCATTACTCCCAGTGCATGTCACAGATGCACTGGTCGTTGCAAGAAAGTATCATTTGTCCACTGATGAAATTTCACTTTACAAGAGTTTAGAAAGCTTGCAGTGGGGCCTGGGGACTGACATTCTATGAGGGTGGATGTATCAGAGAAAAAACAATGAAAGTGTGACTTGCCTGCATACACTGACTGGACTGATGTATTATTGGAAGATGTCCAATCAGTATCTCATGAATGAAACTTTCAGCAGCTGCACACAGTAGGCATGCATGTATGAGCTTACAGCGGTTGGATATGATGGTGTATTCTTGTAGCAAAGCATATGATGCATGCAAGTTGGAACCATACTTCATTGTGTAAATCATGACCAAAGAGGGAATATGGCTATGTGATGTGTATTGGTGCATGTTGCAAGTGGATGGAGAGGAGTTTATTTTCATGTCATATTGAGTCACCACCTTCAAAGAAATCAAAGCTGGAGGCATCACTGAACAAGACATTGGCAGAGTTCTAATATGATAATAAGGGAATTGTCCACATCAATTATGTGCCACAGGAAACTACTATTAATAGTCAATGTTTTGGTGACAACCTTAGGGATTGTGTGCTTATTGGCATCTACTATCATTTATGGAGATTGCTGATGAAAGAGTAATCTAATGTGATCATGCCAAGTCTCATATTGCCCATTGGTGCGTAGTAGTCTGGAATGTGTAGGGAGGTCCTGCTGCGCCTTGGATACCTGGCACCTTTGGATTGCCAGCTCTTTCTGCTTTGCAGGATTGCCTTTGTCCACTTTGGTTCCACAGCACTAATGGGGCGAAAGAGGCTATGTTCAAGTGACTTTGTGAAGAGACGCTTGGTTTTTTCCTGTAGGAAATACCAAACTCAGTTGCTGACAGAAATTCATTATTATTGCTGGTGACTATATGGAGAAGCCCTCAAAGTTTAAAAGGTTGTCTATATTTAACCCTTATCCAGGCAAGGTATTTAGTAACATAAGTGGGCAAGGGGAGTCCAACAGACTCTTCCTTTTTAACTATCAACCTGTATTCATTTGGCTGTCCCATTTGCAGTCATCTCACATTGACATGAGAACAAATTCCCAGTGTATTCACATGTAAAAAAGTAAGATATTGCTCCATAAAAAAAATAGATTACTGAGACAATTGGAAGTCATATATTTTGCCGTACCATTCAATGTGTTGACTTGAATTTTTGAGAATTTCAGCCAACTCTTCATTGTCTAGGATGTTTTTCATCATTTCTTGTGACATTCTAGATCACAATGATATCTCTTAGGAACAGAAACAGAAATAAGATTTTTATTTACAAAAATGATAATAACTTGCAAATCATTGACTCATTTTGAAATCAATTTTGAAAGTGTTGGAGTTGGAGTGTTTTACCAGCTCTTTCACTACAGGATGCCTGAAGGGAACACTAAGAGTTGGATGTCAGCGGTGGGGAAAAGCTACTGAAAAACAAATTGGCAATTGGATACAATTCCCAATAATTTTGCATTCAGTGAAGTATTTTGGCATGAGAGTCGGGGGGGGGGGGGGGGCAGGGCAGCAGAGTGAGGGTGCCAAACCCTACTTGAGGAATATCAGAGGGGAAAAATATTGCCTCCAACAGGGGGAAGGGAGCCCCCCTCACCCTTCACTGCTGCGTACGCCTCATCAAAATTATCTTTGTTTGCCTGAAACAGTGAGGAAACCATGTACAGTAGTGAGGCTTGCTTGATCAGATGCAAAATCAATCACTGCTTGCAAATTTCACCACAGAGTAGAGATGTTCGTCAATGCTGAAGGACGACAGATGATTTTTCAGAGTAGCCCAAAACTGAGTGGTCTTCCCAGTGTAACTTTGTTATAACTAGATGATGCAGTGAATGGTTGAGTGGGAGCCGGAAAGAGCAGAGAGCCATTGTGAATTGTACTTGTAAAATGTAACTTGGGGAAGGGGAACAAAATAAGATTTCAATTTATAGGCTTCAAATGTGGGGCAAATAGCAGAAAGTCTGGATTTTTTCACATAAATTGAAAGATAATTTTCTTATGTTGCCTTTCTTTGTACCCAAACTCTCATCTATGTCTTGCTTCTAATGCAGCAATGGAAAAAATCTGATTTGTCATCAATTGCATGACATGACCTTTCATTTGAGTGCCAGCCTAAGGGTGTCCTCAACCCTCACTATATTAGTTGGTAAATTCTGGCATGAAGGGAATGTTACCATAAGATTTGAAACCTGAAGTTTTATGTCATGTTTCCCAGTCCCCTGCAGCAGTCTGTAGGCCACACCTCATCATAAACTCTAATTGTAAGAAACCACCATATTTCCCAAGCAGATGGTTTATGTGAATTAATGTTTTTTTTTGTTGGGAACTTTTAGGCCTTCATGCATTTGAACATGAGGGGATCCAGAACATCACAGGACTGAAAGATCAGCTGGTGCAGTCAAATCATGATCAGACTCCTGCCATACTCAAGCGACATGAGGATGTTATCAATCGATGGCAGAAGCTCCTTTCAGATTCCGATGCTCGCAAGCAGCGTCTCCTCCTCATGCAAGATGAGTTCCGACAGATCGAGGAGCTGTACTTGACCTTTGCCAAGAAGGCCTCTGCTTTCAATTCTTGGTTTGAGAATGCTGAGGAAGACTTGACAGATCCAGTGCGCTGCAATTCCATAGAAGAGATTCGTGCCCTTCGAGAAGCTCATGCACAGTTCCAGGTTTGTGTGTTGCCCTCAAACCACAGATCTACTCTTTTGTTTTTCTGGTCTTATCATTGATACATCATGTCATGGCATGTTGCAGGCTTCACTATCCTCTGCCCAAGAAGACTTTGAGGCTTTGGCAGCCCTGGATCAGCAGATTAAGAGCTTCAAAGTTGGGCCCAACCCATACACATGGTTTACTATGGAAGCACTTGAAGATACCTGGAGAAATCTGCAAAAGATCATCAAGGTGGTTCTCCTTCTACTTATTAATTCATGCTGTTTCGCCATAATTTAGTATAGGACTTTGTGTAAGGAAAGGAATCATGCCTATCACGTGATGAAATTTTTTAGGAACGAGATGCTGAGCTGAAGAAGGAAGCACAGAGGCAGGAAGAGAATGACCTTCTTCGCAAGGAGTTTGCCAAGCATGCCAATGCCTTCCATCAGTGGTTGGCTGAGACTCGGTATGACTTTTCTTTAATTAATTTTTTTATCGTTGAAGTACAGAAGTCTACCTTCATGTCAGATTTAAGTCATGTTTCTGATCTCAATGATAAAATGATATTATGACAGCCATGATTCTAAAAATGCTCAATCAACATGAGAAAAAGTCAAATAATTCTGGCTACATTCAGAAGTGTACTCCTCAGCCATTAAAAAAACTTGCTGCCATGGAAAAGTATGTGGATATGAGGCTTAAAAAATTATTGTGGAAAATATTATCAAAGAACAGGAATTATGTCTATTTTCCTTGAAATATGACATATGACCAAATAATTCTTTATTTGCTTCCACATATGCCTGGGCAATTTCCAGTCTATGTGATTTTTATTTCTTCTCTATGTGACACCCTTGCACATCAGAGTGATTCCTACTGACCTATGCATGCTAACCGGCTCCTTTACAGGACATCCATGATGGAGGGCACTGGTACTCTTGAACAACAACTTGAAGCCACTCGGGTGAGTAATAACAGTGTGGTCTTCGTCCCCCCATGAAAGAAAAGGCTTTTCAATATAAACTATTGGATATTTCTTTGTTGAACAGAGGAAGGCAGAGGAAGTGCGTGAGCGTCGGACTGATCTGAAGAAGATAGAGGACCTGGGAGCCATCCTTGAGGAGCATCTCATCCTAGACAATCGTTACACCGAGCATAGGTGACTGATGACTGGATTTCTTCTTCTTGGGAAACTTCATCTGGCTCTGTGGCTGAGAAATCAGAGAGTATTATTTGCATTTTAATAGCACCGTGGGGTTGGCCCAGCAGTGGGACCAACTAGATCAGCTTGGCATGCGAATGCAACACAACCTCGAGCAGCAGATCCAGGCACGCAACCAGTCGGGTGTCAGTGAGGATGCCCTCAAGGAATTCTCCATGATGTTCAAGTGAGTGCAATGATGCATTCCTCCTGTAGTTTCCTGGTTGTTCATTCATCATGTGGTTTTTCACTTCCTTCTCTGCATCCTTCAGGCACTTTGACAAGGAGAGGAGTGGACGTCTGAATCACCAGGAATTCAAGTCCTGCCTCCGTGCTCTGGGCTATGACCTCCCAATGGTTGAAGAAGGAGAACCTGACCCTGAATTTGAAACCATTCTCGGTTAGCCCCTCTTGGTCGTGTTTGATGCAGGCCTGGGAACACCAAGCTGAATTTTAAAAAATTTTGGAATGACCTGCGTCTTGCATCTTGTAGATGTGGTGGATCCGAATCGAGACGGGTACGTTTCTCTTCAAGAGTACATGGCGTTCCTCATCAGCAAGGAGACAGAGAACGTGCAAAGCTTGGAGGAGATAGAGAATGCGTTCCGTGCTATCACGTCTGGAGAAAGGCCTTACGTCACAACCGAGGAGCTCTATGCCAACCTGACCAAAGAGATGGCCGATTACTGCGTGACACGCATGAAGCCATATGTCGATCCTAAAACAGAGCGCCCTATCCCAAATGCCTTCGATTATGTAGCTTTCACCCGAACTCTCTTCCAACAGTAGGCTTGGGACTTTTTCCCTTCCACTCTTCTATCAGCATGTCAGTAGGGTGACTCTTGGGTGCTTTCTTTAAGCTTTAACTGATTCTCTGCTTGATTTTGTGTGACTCAGTTAATCATTATAGGATGACATGATTGGTTGCCTTATCAGAACTTCCTATCTATTCAGGTTGGCTTGCATTTGTACAATAAACAATACCAAATGTTCCAGCTTTGATAAAATGACTTGCTGTTCATTGAGATTTTTTTTTCAAGCTATTTACATCCTAAGAACAAAATGCAATCCTATAATCAAAGCTTCTTCAGTGGTAGAAGAAATTTTATGACAAATTTATTTCATTGACTTTGATTTAGATTAGTTTCATTGCAATTGAGAACATATCTTTTTGCAGTTGATTACACATTGTGTTTGTTTGACCTACAAGTTTCCTATGCCCATATGTTTTTCTCTAGTGTTCTTCCTCTTGATTATTGTAAATGAAAAAAATTGCATGATATTTCCCATTCGTCAAATGTATCATTTCTTCTGCTGATGGAAACGTCCTCAAATAAAATCCAAACCTTGTAGCATACTTTTCCATGATTGGAGAACTTTCTTACTGTTCATTGAATTTTGCCATGCCCTTGGAGTTTCTCTAGCCGTCTGGATCAGTCTTGTCCGATTTTTTAATGCTCTTTCTTAAGAGCCTTGTCAGTGTCAATAGCTTCTATCCCTTTCTTGCTCTTGCATACTTCATGTGCTTTTTTTCAATGCACGTTTACTGTGAGCACCTAATCCTAGAAATAAATAGTCACTGTTGAGCATATGAAATCTGTCTCCATTCATTGAGGTGGTATCCTCCTTGGTTTCCTGAGTACCACTTAGATCCTTTTCACTTTTAACCTACTGGATAAATAGTGGATCCCATTCACTTGACTGGGAAGGTGGGTGATGTCCTCGAAAGGAAAGGTGACATAATTGTGGTTCGAATTTGTTCATTATTACTCAAACATACATATTCACGCAACAGACATGCATGTTTCATGAACCAGTCCATGATTTACTTGTTTCCCTATGAAGGTCTGTCACGTGGCACCTCTACTAGTTCCTCCTTGTACGGTTGCCATCATGACAGGCGTCATCTTGGGTAGGAGAGGCTATTTTGGAGTGTTTGGTAATTAGTGGCTTGAGTGCAGCGATGAAAGACGAAAATGATGGAAATTATGAAAAAGATGGAATAGCGATGAGGGACGGTCATCAGCTCCTCTCTTGTGCTTCTTATCGTTCATAGGCCCGGCGCACAAACATCCACACGAATGGAAACGTCAAAATTTTCAGATCTATGGTCGATTGCAACCAAAACGTGGTATCATTCTCATAGGTACCATGGGGAAATGCCAGACATTGCGTTCGGTCTGTCACTCTTACTTACATTTTTTTATCTGGCATTCCCATATTGAGCGGCAAACCTCAGAAAATGGCCATATTTTCAAAGTTTAATGCACCCCACGTACAGAAATGTGCGACTTGCATCAACTTGAAGCTTACGACCTACTGGTCAAGTTTCGGCCTGTCGTCAATTCCGAGTGCGCGGAAGCAAGATGGCGGTCGAATTTAGAAATGGCTGCTCCCGCCTGAACATTGAAATAGTGATTGACCCATTGTCACATGACGGTGTGCCTGGTGTCTAAATAGGGGCATTTTAGATCAAGGAACCTAGTTTTGATGGGTAAACTTTGCTTGAACGTGTCAAATTGCGTAACTCGAGTAAATTTGGAAATGGCCACCACTCCTGTCTCCAAAATGCCAAGAGAGAGGAATGTAGTTACACGAAGGTGTGTTTGGTGCCTAAATGATGGTATATCGTGTCGAAGAGTTCAGTCCTTATATGCAAAGTACTATATACTGTAACAATATCCAATATAACAGCATATTTTCAAATCGTGGATGCCAAATTCCCTGGTACAGGGTTCTTTTGAGGTTTCTTGGCGTGTTCAAGCATCTTTATCTTTAATACTATTCATCGTAGAACAAAAATATTTGGTGGCCACACCTTTGAGACCAAGAGGAACACGTTTCTGTGGTCAACGGTTATTTCCATCAGGGGGCTCCACTGATCACTTCATTTGCATAGGCTGTTACATGTCTGGTTCTATAAGACGGGACCCAGCCCACCCATTGTGAAAGTACTGCTGACGAGTGCTTTTAGCGAGATCGCATCATAAGCAGAAATTTTCCTCATTCGTGACCACCACGAACTACAGATCTGACTCCACTTGATTTCTGGTTGTGGGGATACCTCAAGTCAAGTGTGTATCGTACAGCGCCTGCTACCTTAACTTATTTGAAAGATACCATCCGACATCATATCACCCGTGTTGTACACTGGACAGCTTTGTAGTATAACGAAGTACCTGAATATAACGAATACTATGTAGAAAGAAACACGCAATTAAGTAGGCTGCCTCCATCAGAGCGCAGTTTTTCTCAACGTATGAACTGCGCCTCGTATCAAACGAAATCTGTTTCGGACGAGAAACGTCGCGGAAAACAGGAAAGAGGATCGGAGCACGTGGAAGAGGTGAAAGCGTCTGTGTTACGTCGCCCCAAAAAGTCAACTCGAAGGCGATGATCCGAAATCGGTACGCCGGAGATCTTTTCCGGACGTGGTCTCCTTTTCGTCACGCGTTCTGATCGGGGAGACGATTTAAGATCTGAACGACAGCGTGGAATCGTCGCCGGCCCGGAGACGGCATCATCGGTTCGTGAACCCCTGGAATCGCTCGAGATGTGCCGAGATTCGCAGTAACCCTCGGGGTCGCGAGGCGGCATCTGGACTCTTTCAGACGGTGCGACGGACGGAGGTCTCCCGATCCTCGCGATGCCGGTGGACGTGGGTGAGATGCGGATGCAGATGCGAAGAGATCGCATCCCCGCCGACTTCTAGCGACGCTGAGGCCGGGGACGACTTGGACCGATCTTCCATCTTCGCGAAAGAACGGCGGGATTTTCTCGTGCGACGCGCGGTATCGTGAGAGATGACTCCCAAACCGAAAGATAACGGGTCGGAATCCTTAGGAGTAATTTAGGGGAACTTTCGCATGCGGCAGGACGAGTGGGTCCCGAGAGCGAAGGAGATGCGTCGGCTTTCGGAACACGGTTGTGGTCGCCCGATTAGGTACAGAGGGATCGAGCGAATCGGGTGATGCCATTCTTCGGAAGATCGAGTCAGGTACGAGCCATGGATAGGGAGGGTGTAGGTACGATGGGGCAGAATCGATCGCGTACCAGATGAGGAGAATCCCGATCCCCTTGAGCTTAAAATCCGTCCCTTCGGGCCTCGCCTGCAATCTCAAATCGATGGTTTGGGGACGTATACCGTTCCGGAAGAAAATGCATATACTTTCCATTTGCGTTCCGAGACCGGAAGATGGAGTCACTCGGTCGAAAAAGGCGGATCGGATCTCTCGTTGCGTTCAGATGTGTGATGCAGAGAGCGAAATTCGTCTCATTTACCGTATGCAAACCCTTCTCGATTCGTGGGGACCGAGCGTGTACTGGCACTCCTCGATCTGGACACCGGCATCTCCCGCCTGCGAGGGAGAAGGCGAAGCGACTGTCCCCGAAAAGTGGGAAGGGACACGAGCGGCCGCTTCGCGTCACGCGGATCGCTTCTCGCTCTACCGCTCTATGCGTATCGCAAGAACGGCACGTTCTTGCGATAATTCTTCACGAGAATGATTTCCCGCTCCCTCGACGCTTTGGCTTTCCCCTCGTCTCGTGGATGCTTTTCCTGCCTGCCGAGAGCCGCTTCGCACGCGGCCCGTGATTTTCTCGACCGTCTCGGAAGATTTTTGCCGAGAACGAAAGGAATACCCATTGCAAATCTGTCCATACTGCCCCTCATGCAAGGGCTTGGTAAGGGAGGGAAGGCTAGGTTGGCCAATACCCCTCTCACACGCACACTTTCGTGTGCGTGTGAGGGGGGGATTTGGGACAATGATGTATCTTTTGCTCTTCTTCTTCCTTCCCCCTCACTTTTCCGGGTAGATGCATATCGCTGATTAGCGGATAGGGCTTCTGGCATAACGCATTTGCTGAACCTTCGTGAAGTGCGGAGCCATTCCCAAACACCTTTTCCCATCTCCTCCCTTCCCCCCGTTCTTCCACTTTCGATGAAGTTCCTCCGACTATGAACCCTTGTTGGACACAGTCACTTCCTCTTTCAGGGTATACGGCTGAAATGTAGGTGGCACGGCTCAGAACACGTGGCCCTAATCATTTCCATGCGCTTCAAAATCTCCGCACCGTATGGGATTCTCGCAGGGTTTTATCTAGGACATGGTTCTGATTAATCAATTAATCAGTTAATCATATTTCTAATTTAATCATTAATTAATCAAAAATATTTTTAGAAAATGATGAAAAATGATTAATTTTCCCATAATTCCAGCATCATTTTATCATACATTTTGTAATGTGGCATTTGAATTTGTACCAACTATTCACTCTGTGCATTTCCCAGGACAGTTCCCCCACCCACACCTTGCATTTCAATATAAGCTTGCTTTGAATTTCCCGCTCAAATGTTATTCGTTTGCAGTCGGTGGTCGCAACTCGCAAGTTGCAGATAAGTGAGTGGGCGTGTCCAAGGTTTCTCGTGTGATTTCTGTCAAATATATTTATCTGTACTCTTTTGAATTATATTGCATGAAATGATTCAAGCGCAGTGTTTTAATCTCATTGGTTACTAATTAGTATAGGTTAGTAGGATATAGATGGATAGGCCTAGCCTAAGTAGAGGAACTTAGGCCTCAGGTAGGCAAAATTCTAATACTTGTGATCTAGAGCCTAGGCTCTCACAATTTTGTGGTCTTATTCAGTTGTTTTTAATTGTTGGAATGGCACATGAGGGAGGAGTTTTGCACAGGTATGAAGTGCGAAGTACTGCACATTTTCTTTTGCGTTTCATTTACCTTTTTACCCATTTCAGAAGTATTTCATTTTTAATCAGTTAATCATTGATTAATTAGAGAATTTCATCATTCATCACTTTTCCAAAAAATGATTAATTAACCATGCTCTAGTTTTATCACTAGGACGTGAGATATCGAAAAACTCCGAGTGCACTCCGTGCAACAGATCGTATCGCGTACCTTCACATCTTCGATCACCGAACCACATGTTTGGGTGGCAATGATGCAAATATTCTACTCGCGATTTATATAATAGGAGTGTGACTGCCAAATCCAGGAAAAAGGAAAACACAGTATGATCTCGCTAATGCACTTTTCTTAGACCTGATTGTCTCATGGGACATGGCCTCAAAGAACAAAAGGAAGAAAAGAAGCAAAGAATCACTAGGGTTTTATTAGATTATTTGTGCACCCGCACGGAAACGCCACCACGAATGCGATAAGGAAAGCTCACTCCCATAATTATACGTGGAATTCCCCTGAGACTTCTGCCATGTTGTCGCCTTTCGACCTTGCTCATTTCTATGTATTTCTGAGTGGAAAATTGCTGTCTAAACTGCACGGGTCCTCGTACGTCTTCTTTAATTCACGTTTCCGAGGATCCGATGCCTCACGTAGTCATGTAGGCAGCATGCAGGCATTCCGATCGATTCCCATCTGTAGAATACCGTCGAGGAGAACCGAAGCACTGCATCGTGTCGAAAAGTTGGAAACCGAGAGCCACGCTAGCGACACGCATGTCCGCGCACGAGGAATGACAAGCGTCGAGCGATGAGCGATTCGAGTGACATCTGGTAGCCGTCCGAGTCCCTAGGCACTTTCTCCCACAGACCATATTTGGCCGGTCGAGAAGACAATCTCTCTCGACACCAGAGCTCATGCGCTCCCGTTGCGCTCGTGACGTCCATGCCTCTTCTTCATTCTCCTCCCGTTCATTCATGATGGGGTTCCATCTGCTTCTTGTGTCATCCGAGAGAACTCGCGCATGCTCCGCACCGACGTCATCGGTGAAATCAAATCAAAATCGTTCGATGTCGACTTGGTAGAGACTGCGAACGAATTCGCTCGCGCAGAGAACAAATATTCATAAGGATGAGGCGCTCGTGTGGATGAATTCCATTCTACGCCCGTCGCGAATCCGAACGGTGCGTTCAGTTAGAAGAATGACCTTTAACCAGTGGCGGCTCGTGATATTCAGCGCTAGTGGTTCGTCTATGGAGAGGGGGTAGGCAGGGGAGGGCGCTGCCTACCCCCTCTCCATAGACGAACCATTAGCGCTGAATATCACGGGCCGCCACTGCCTTTAACGATGGCGATTGTGGGTGAATTGGATGAAACTGACTTTAGCCTAATGACTTAAGCCAAAGTCAGTTTCATGCAATCCACCCTGTGTTTTCAGAGAAGGAATACATATTATATCCGTTCCATTCCCGAAAAAAGCTCTCCCCCGAGCTTCTCGTTTGGATATAACCCTTATTTTCCCCCGTTATTTTCTCAATATATCTATGGCCAGGTCGCGGCGAATTCCACATCGTTGGAAAGCTCAGAAAGCAATGAAGGCAATGAGCCTTCTTTGCTCGAACAGAGCGACTTGTGCAGTAATTTCAACACAGCGATGAAGGGAAGATGTAAGGATGTAAGGAAGATGTAAACCTGAGATTCCTCTCAGGTTTTATTTTTTTTCGAATGGCGGAACGGACTAGGTCTAACAAGGTAAGTATGGGTCACGACCTCCCCCCCCCCATCTCTCTTCAATTTTCGATGCGGAACCTCTTTGGTGTGAAGGACCTTACCGTAACCTTGGGTTCAATCGAAACCGAAAGCCCACGACACTGAGAGATAGTCAGATTCCCTATATCTTTCACAATATTCTATCCACGTCTCAAAAAACCAATATAAAATGCTGGAGGTTGTCTTGAAATTTGAAATGTATTTCGAATCAATTACATCTTGCACAAAACGAATAGCAACCTCGTCGCTTTCAGTTTCTGCTTATATTTTGAGTCGTTTCTCTTCTCGTTCGATACTACGGCATGCTTTTGTAAAGTAGGGATGGACTCACGAAGCTCCCATTACGAAGTATCCTTCCGGGCCCTTCGGTTGCCCAGCTGTTCGATCCTACAGCGTAAAGGAAAAGACCTCAAGGAAATGCCCGAAAGTCTCTCTTGCAAGAAATGTTAACATCGATTTAGAAAAATTGGCTCGTCTTGAACTCGACGGTCGAGAGTGCGGTCGTCCGCGTGCCCCCGAGGATTACGGTCCCTCGGTACGAGGTGCTAGGCCGTGTTCGGCAACACGGACGAACGGACGGTCGAGGTGCACTGGTACGAGGAAAATCGTCAGAAAGAGAGTCGTCAGGAAGGAAGGGGTTTGGTGCTGGGCCAGGACAGGGCGTTCATGATGGCCAGAGCCTCCTCGGTCGCATTGTACACGCTCAACAGATGCTTCTTCTTCTGCTCTGCGTCCCCTCCTGGTTCCATCAGCTTCTCCTGTCATCGTCATCGTAAAAAAAAACCGATTCAAAAGAGAATTCCTACTCGAAGTCGATCGCTTCTACACGTTTAGATTGCATGCACGCCGAAAGTGACGCTTTCCCACTTTCTGCTTCTGCTTCGCAGCCGTGAAACTTTTGGGAAGCAAAGCTTCGTTGAGCTACTCGAAATAGAATGGACTTCCTCCGGGCCAAACTGGGTGAGGGATCTTACCGATTCCGATCGTATATTTAATGGCGACCACCACATGTCTCACTTGACATTAGACTTTAAAAATTCATCACATAGAATGATAAGTCCTTGGTGATTGCAAGAACAGCTGTTTCGATTCGAATTCGACGAGTCCATAAAAACGAGTGGGATTTCCTTATGAATACTATACCACAAAAAAAACCTGAGCGGTGGGAATGGGAAAGAGATCATCCTGAATCCCTCGCCCCATTCGAGACAGAGCTACACATGGCCCTCCTAATTGAATTCGTGTCCTTGCAAGAAGGGAATTGAGACAAGGTCGTAAGGAACGCGTGATATGGGAACCAAGAAGGACCCGACAGCCTTGAGGCGAGGGGTCTGTGAAGGCGAGTGCATGATCCTTTACTTGCCTCCACCCCTCAGGTTTTTATTTTTTATTATTAAAAAAATTGACTTTTTTAAAGATTTATTTGTGCCCGTAGGCCGATCGATGAATTTTTTTTTGTTGCCTCTAATGACTGACTCACCATATCGTTTCTCTCCTGGATCTGCGCCGGAAGCTCCTCTTCAATGTACACCATCAACTGAAACGACGGGAAACGTTCCTGGGCTCTTACGAAAATACGGGGAAGGGAAGAGGATTTTGGGTTTGCCCTACTTGGTCGATGAGCTTGAGGACGATGTATTTGGGAGTGAGATCTTGGATCGTCTGCTTCACGATCCTCATGTACTTGAGGATCTCCTCCAAGAATCGATCCGCATCTCGGCTCAGCGTTTTGTCCGACGCGAATTTCTGGGGGAGAGAAGCGACAGACGCGTCTTCGCGGTGCCTTTCCCTTCCGCGCGAGAGACGATCGTAGGGAACAGACCCGAGGGAAGTCGATCTTTCGGGGCTGCATCGCGGCTCCGGGTTGGGGCACGAGCGCGTCGTACGAGCGATCGTCCTCGAAGAACTGCCGAGGATCCGGGACGACGGAAAGGACAGCATCGTGAATCGGAAGACGGTCGCAGAACTCGTTCGTGCGAAGAATCTCGCACGGAGAGAAAGGGGATGGTCTTACGAGGGTGTGAGCGCTGCCGAGATTCTCGACGAGGATCCCGGCTTCCTTCAACTTGGATTCCCATTGGTCCCCGACCTCTTTCCCCTCCTTTCCGTCGTAGACCGCCACCATCTCTCTCGCCCGCCCCATCCCCAGGGATCTCGGAGACGGAAAAAGACCAGACGATCGGATTCGGACTCCCTTGGCTCCTCGGCCTCTTTTTCGGCCCCTTCCTCTCTCTTCCTCTCCCTTCCTTTCCCTTCCCGTCCTGCACCGCGCTCGACTGCGACTCGCGACGTTCTCGTCGGCGGCACGAGACCCGAATCCCCATCCGTTCCTCGTCGGATCACCCTTCCTCCTTCTGCCACGTACGGCAACCTCACATTTTCCGGTCGGAAAGCCCCAGCCCACCCGTAGGCGGTGATTCATAGGGGCTCGGGAGGTTCGAGTCCCCTAAAAATTTGGTCAATTTTTGGGGGGGCTCAAAAGAAAAAGGAATACTTGCAAGAGTACTACCTCTGAGCCCCCCATATTTGTCAACAAATCGCCGCCCGTGAGCCTACGATCGCCTTCGTCGCTGCACGACGAATCGGCGGATGAACCTTTCACACGAAGCAGAATCCGACAGAGGAAGTCGGCTGTGCCAGGGACGAAGGTTACTAAAGGGAATACCCGAACGATAAAAGGTTTTCCCACTCTCACGTTCCCGTTAGCTACCCTTGCATCTTTCCGCCCTCGCGTCTCTCGCCCCCGTCCCATCCTCCATTTATCTCGGAAGAACGAAGAGAATAAAGGAGAAAAAAAAGCACTAGAATTTTCGATAACTATGGGATGATGGATGATATTCGTTTCACCTGCCATCGATCCTCGAGACGGTGAACTTCTTCCTCCCCTTCTTCGAGTCGCTCTTCAGCCCGATCCGGATGTCGGAGTTGTTCAGTCGTATCAATTCCGTGTCTTCCTGCGCGACGAAAAGCACCTTCGTGATCGCCGGTCGATGGCGAACGCCAGACGTGCGGAAGAGCACCCACCCGATCGTCTTTGAAGACGACGAGATGAGCCGGAGTGACGGCGAACCAGGCGGGTTTCTTCTTCTTCGTGAAGGCGGATTCGCTCGGAAGGTTGAGGTACCCCTGATGGATCCTCTGCGTCCCCTATTCGATTCCGACGCCGACGAGGATCATCGATCTCGAATCCGAACCTTCGGTTGCGATTCGACGAGGAGGGTGGGAGAGTCTCACCCTTGGGGGCCTGGGCGGAAGACCCGACGAGTTCGGGATCGTCGACGTCGCATCCCCCTTTCCTCCTTCCGACTCCCTCGCGCTAGATGCAGGTAGAGATACGAATTCACTCTCCTCGTCGACCCATCGGTCTTCCGTTCCTCGAAGCTCCGAGAGAACGAGTCGCCACGTCGCCTCTCCGTGCGGGTGGAAAGGTGAAATCCCTCCTCCTTCGCGACGGATTCCCCCTCTCCTCACCGGTTCCGGAGGGAGATCGACGCCGGCACTCGGACGCGAACGGACCCGGGAATCCTACGTCCCGGACGTTCCGTCGAGATCCACCTCGTTTCCTCGTCGAAGCGAGGAGACGAGATGGATCCGTCTGCAAAGACAAAAGACTGCCGAACGTTCGACCTTTGAGAGGACGGGACGTCGCTCCACTTCATGAGAGGGTGTTTCGTGTTCATGAAGGCGCATTCCGCTTCCATGTAAACGACCAAGAGATCCTTGCAGCTGGACTCGTTCCGTTTCAGTTTCTCCATGATCAGGGTGAGGACTTCCTGCTTCAGGTTCGGGAAGGACCCGATCTCCTATTTTCCGCACGAGAACAACCTCTTTTGGCCTCTCCCGGTTCGTGGGTGTCGCGCTTTTTCCAGGTTTCTCTCGTGGGCTTTTAAAAATCAGAGAGGGAGAGAGTTCGCCGACCTGAGAGGCGAATTTCTCGACGGCTCTGCCCGTCAGTTCCGCGATCAGTTCCACCGAAATCTTGACGGGCTCCTTGAATCTCTTCGTGGTGTGATCGACCAACCTCTTGAAGACCTGTTGAGGCGGTGCCATGTAGTTCTGGACCCCGACCGTGTTCCTGATGGCCGTCATCGTCTCTTCCTTCGTCGGCACCAGTTTCTCCTAGACGGACGAAAAGCGGTCCGTCTCGACGGTCGTCGAGTTCCCCTGCGCGATTCTCGTTACCCTTTTCGTACGCTTTCGTACGTGGTACGCCGCTCGTCGGAAAGCCCCGGCACTCGCACTGCGATACGCGATCGCAGTCGGTTGGGGGAACGCCGTCCGTGCGACGTCTCCGCGACGTCGTTCGGCTCGAGTCGGGTCGCGGCGACGTCGCACGGACGTCGCGTTCCGCTCGGGCTCTCGCGCGATTCCGTCGCTCGCTCGTTCGTTCGTTCCCGACGAGGAGCGAATCCACGCCGCACGAACTCCAGAAAAACCGTCACCTCGTTGAGGAGACCGTTGATGATCTCCTCGTTGATGGTCTCGTTGATGACGGCCCCCATCTGCACCTCGTTGATCTCCACCGAATAGTCGAACCCCGTCAGGCAGGATTTCAGGTTCTTCGTGAATCTCGACATGACCCTGAAGAGGAGAAAACGGGAAAAGGCAAACGATGCTTTTCGTTCGACCCCGGAGCCGAAGAGAGCGGAACGTTCGGACTGATGGAAGAGAGAGTTGCTGCTTTTCATCTTCGTGTCGGTGGCGCCCAAGATCTGAAGCTGTTCCTGGAGATTGCATCTCTTTTGCAGCATGTTGGATCGGATACCCGGCAGTTTCTCCTTGATGTGCTCTTCCAGTTGACGGTTGAGCACCTTTTGGAGCACCTTCGTCCCCACCCGATCCGTGAGGTTCCTGCGAATGCCGCAAACGAAGGGACGAAAGAGTCGACACCGATCCTTCGAGGCCGTTCCGCGTCGCACCGATCGAAGCAGACGCCACGTGCATTCCTTTAGAGTTTCGGAGCGATCCGATCCGATCCCACCGAATTCGACGTTCGATCTCCGACTGCTGGAATTCGAAGCACCCGGTGAACGGTGGGAGACCGTCCGAGAACGAGCCGAGGCTCTCCCAGGTCTTCGTAGGACATTTCTTTCTCGCCGAGATTCGGGGAAGGGTCACGCGGACGCCGGCAGGGAAACGCCGAGTTTCTGTCTTCCGACCGTTCGTCGGCGTCTGCTCCAAACGGAATCCGAATCCACTTCCTCCGTTTTTTCTATCTACGTCTCCGGGAAACGAGGGGAGGCATTCGGTGTTGCGAGAGCCTCGAGGAAGACTGCGAAACGACTCTCGCTTCGCTCGTCGGGTGGCGAATGCGCCGGACGCGTCGGGCGAAAGTCTCGGAACGACACGGAATCCGCGCGGCTCGGATGCCGATTCCACCCATCCTCCCCCCCCCCCCCCCCCTTCCCCTCCCCCCCCTCACTCCATCTCGCTTCGCCGTTACGCGCGTGGGGTAAGAAACGAGGCCGCGATCGATCCGCTCCTACCGAAATGAGATATCCGGAGAGGGAAAAAGTTATTCTCGACGAGATTCTCGCACTTCACCTTCGCTTCTGGCCGAGATATCCGCACGAGTCCATCGAGTTTTCGCACCGAAGGGAAACCGGAATTCCTCTCTCGGCTTCACTTCGTCGTACCCCTAAAACGAGGCATCGTGATTTCTAAGTGACGGAATCGACCGTCGAACGAAACGTTTTAAAGATTGCGATCGCATCTATTAATACTTTTAGACGAAACTCGATGGTACGGTCGATGATTTCGAGTCGAAAGACGAGCGAGAAGGAAAAGAAGAGAACGCGAAGAACGGGACGAAACGTGGCCTCGACTCCGAGGGAGAAGGCATCGGAAGGCACACTAAAAGCTCGTCGAAGGCACGATAAAAACCGTCTGCCGATCGTGAAGTCCGGGAAAGGCACGTTTCGTCCATTCGTTCCTCCCCGTCTTTCGCGTCGAGCGTAATCGTATTCCTTCGCCTCGTTCCCGCTTCGGTACGTTTCTCTCTCGTCGACCCGTCGACGACCGGCGTCCCGAAATCGGGAAGGTCCAAAAACGTGCCCTCGTTTCGTAGCAAACACGGTAAACGCGCGACGGTGCCCTTTCCCTCATACCGTATCCCGTGCTCCCAGCTCGAGTCGTCAAAATATTCCCAAGAGTAAGGTTCTCCTAGGATATTCATACGATTTCGTCGGTCCAGAACTGCACGTGAAATACTTCACCGCATGTCGGCTCGATGGAGACTTCAACCGAGTCCAGTTTTGATCGATATCGGCAGAGACACGGTAAAATCGATTTTCGGAAACCTCTTTCGACCGTTTCTTCGTGACTTTCACCGTTCTCTCGATGTCGACTATGAACTGTTTTTGGTTATCGGCAAAAACCCGGATCGGAACTGCGGAAGTGCTTCGGCGGCTAGAACTTTCCTCCGGATGAAGAGTTAGGTTTCATTCTGGTGTCATCGTATTCGTAAAATTGCTCTCTTTGCAATGGTACAGATGATTTTTTTCTGTCTCAGGAAGGCACGAAAAAAAAAATACTTAACTCGATTGTTTCACCAACTCGATGATCAAACTTTCCGATTATTTGAAAATTTGAGGCGTATAAAAACGTAAACTTAAAAAAAAATAAATTTCCATAAAATTTTAAAGCGATCATAAGTGCCGGAAGTACGATTAAATTAAATTATGAAATGCAATATGAATAGTATATGATTAAGTTAAAATAAATAGAGGAGAGCGAGGTGATACCGAACGGCGCGGAATGACCTATTTGGAATGTGCACGATTTGCAGCCGCTCGTGCCACTGCTCAGACTTCGACGAGTGCGGAAACCTATTTTGAAACTTTCCGCGACTCGAACGGTTTCCGAGGAAAGCAATGTCGGCATTTTCATCTCGATCGATGCGAGGAACTGCTCGAGAGGCGAGGCTTTCCTTCGACGTTCGACGACGTATCGCCGATTCCGACGGGTTCGCAGGGGAAAAGGATTCGCGATTCTTTCGAAAAGAGACGGAATCTGCGATATTCGCTCGCTCGCTGGTCCGTGAGAGTGGGCTTCGAAGTCGGTCACGTCGAGTAAATCCGGACGGACGAAGGGGAGGAAAACCGAACGTTCGGATTCACCGCACGTTCGATTGCGTTGGCGTCGTCGAGAACACGGTGGAATACCATTTACTGCATGCCACCCCGATCGTACTTATACCGTCCTATCTTGGATACTTACGTATCGCGATGCTTTTCGGATTCCCGATGAGGGCAACAAAAAAAAGATTTTACGGTTTCCGGAAACAAATTTAAGTCGAGATGCTCCATTTTTTACCGGTCGCGTGGGGTACGGGGAATCCGAAGTTTACTCGTCCTACTCGTGTGCGCCAAAATGGACGCGACTCGTTAGGGAGTCTCGTTCCATGCGCGTCGAAGAGAAAGAATTCCGGAGAGCGAAACTCGAGAGAATCCTCATAAAAGCACACAAAAGGTTGGGCGTATCTCCACGGTGACTTCGACGCCTGCTCCGGATCTTTACGATTCGTTCGATCGAAAATCGAAGGAGTCGAATCGCAAAGACGGTGACGCGACGAGGGAATGCGGCCGGTTTTGGAACGGTCGCCTCGGCGTTTTTCCCTCGTCACCTTCGAAGCGTGCTCTTTTCGAGTCGAAGACGAAGTCCTTGGAAACCGACATCGTTTTCGACGAAAGCCACGTTTTTCGAGAATGAGAATTTGAGGACGGGGCGATGAGATCTGCGCTCGAGAGCAGGCACTCGAAAATTGGACCGAGGGAATTCCCGGTACTTCCGTGGGATACGTGAACGATGCATGCTCGTGCAGAAATTTACGAGCGCTCTTCCCAATTTTTTCTCCGAATCTTCGGAATCGTTCCAGCTACTGGGGTGAATCCGAAGGAAGCCGTTTTCGGAAAACATCGCCTCTGCTCGTCGGTCGTTCGCTTCGATACTGCCACGATTTAACGAACAGAAACCGATATAAAGTACGGCTGAAATCATCATTCCTGGTCGACAAAGCAGAATTTCCTTAGATGTTCGGCTTTACCTCACTTTCCCCTGCGATTGGAATGTGATTACATTTTAGTATAAATTAAAATACCTGTGGGACATAATAATAAAAAATAGACGGGAAGGTGATATCGGACCTGCGGAGCATGTTCGTGCCAGTTTTCGACTGAAAATCGGACTTTGGGTGTAAATGGGTTCATTTAGGTCCTTTTTCCACTTCGGAGTACGCGAAGGACCGAGCCGGTGTGCTTCATTTCACAGAGAGCATTTACATGCGCATATCAAAGTCTCGCTTTCGTCGATCGCGGACGCCGATGCGGAGCGGCGTGTCATATCGGCCGCGGCGATATCGCAGCACGGAATGATATACGGAAAAGCGTGCGTATCGGTGGTCGATACGAGGCAGCAGAGCGACCACCGCGAATTCCACCGGACTTCGCGATCGCCCCTCGCCGTTCTCGTCGGTCGACTCTTTTGGGTTCCGTTTTCCTCTTCTCGCGATGCTTCTCCGGTACGCGCACGGGCGACGGAAATCCGGGTCGGAAACGGAGAAGCACCCTCGAGAGTGCCGTTTCGCGACCGAACCGTGGAAACGGACGACTCCTCTTGGTTCCGACGGAGGACGAAGCCCCGGACGAAGCCCATCTCGTCGAGGCGAAGGGGAAAGCTTCCACCGAGGCTTCGACCGTTCCTCCGTTCGCTAATTGCTTCGTTCCCTTCCCTTCCCTTTCCTTTCCCTCTTTTCCCTCGCCTTCCCGGGCTTCTCTCCCGGGGAACGTTCCTTCTCGAGGATCGTTCGGTCCGAAAGGAAGGAAGAACGGACCGGGAACGGACCTGTAGGCCGGATGATCTCGGAAGAACGCCGCCTCGGCGTCCCTGGCGGCATCCATGTCCGTCCCGCTGGTGATATCCGCCTGAGATCTGTTCACCACCCCGATGTATCCCCGTTTGAGGGGGAAGAGCTTGTTCTCCAAGGCGTTGCGTGCGTCCGTGCCTCTGTCCATCAGGTCCAACTTCGTGAGCACTCCGATCGTCCTCTCTCCTGCGATCGAGATCGTTTCGGGACTCCGTCGATCGAATCGAAGTGAGGTTCGCGATGCGATGGGCCCTCGCCTGCCGAGGTCTCGCGTGTGAGACGATTTCGAAAAAAAAGGGCCAGTCCTTTTCTACGGGAGGAAGGTAGCCACCCGAGTGCGTATGGAGCCGACGACGACGAGAGAGACGAGCGACCGACGTCGGTCGAAATGAGGATCGCGTGAACGCGAGTACCCTCATCTCGACCGGGCGATACCAATCGACACTTTTTATATACGAGTAGACGATTCCATCGTGAGTGTTCCGATGGTCTATAAGCTCGACCGTCTCGGAGTTTGCAGTCGGATCGTGGCGAGAATGGAATCGAATAGATCGTTGCAAACGGGGGCCGAGACGCCGGGGTTTAAATTTCCCTGTGCACAGTGGGACAAAAACCCATTTCCCACGCCAAAATGAAAAAAAATCGAAAAGTGAAAATTTTAGATACAACATATCTCACTCCTGTTGTCAAAGTAGCAAGAGATAGCAGCTAGTTTTCACGTGGCTGCTAAAATACTAACATTAGATTCCAGAAATGCCAAAGTCTTCGGCGCACTCGATCGCCTTTTTTTTGCAGCGCACACCAAATATGGCGGAGCTGTAATTGAAGATTAGGAGCTCAGATAAATAGGCTCCACGCCCTCATTCCTTAACCCTTTTCGCACTCGGCCTATTTTCCAAGTACCTGGCCTAAAACGCTCTCTGGTCCGGAACTACATCACATACGTACCTTTTGCAGTTAGCACCTGTGTTTAGGGAAGGCGGGGGGGGGGGGGGGGGGGGGGGGGCGCATGGATGAAATAACTGCAACTGTAAGAGATAAATGACGGGAAGGAAGGGAAAATGGTCTATTAGAAAAAGTTTTTCGAGATAGTTGATAATTGGCCTTAGACGCAGGGACCCTTTTTTCATTCGTTGAAGAGAGTCGTTCGAGGGTTTTACGAAAATGAGAAACTGGCTCATCTTCAGGGTGGGTAATGAGTCCCACGTCGTTTAGAGCATATGCACATATCATATCCATGACAGTCCAACAACCTGATACATATGGCCCACCTTGTGCATGTACTACTTTCCCTCCTTAAAAAAGACGATCACTTACATATTGCATTTTCCTCTGGAGCTGGAGACATGATTTATTTTTCATCGAAAGACCATTTTCCATTGTGTTTCATATATCTAACCTCAGAAGGGATAAATATTTATACCTGTTCAAATGGATACTCACTTATCCATGCCCAAGATGAATAAAACTCTCCTTGTTAAATGCTTAACCCTCCCGATCGAAAATGACTAAATGAATTCATCGTATTTAAGATGAGTATCCAATTAATTCTTTTAAATGGCGTTTCACCGTCACCTAACCTTTTGTACGATTTATCCTTCAAAAGCTTAACCCTTATACGCTCAGAGCACCGATCCATCGGCTCCGTCTAAATCATGCACTTTTAGTTACATAAATGGCTCAAAATGCTTCCCTAAACACAGGTGCTAACTGCAAAAGGTACGTATGTGATGTAGTTCCGGACCAGAGAGCGTTTTAGGCCAGGTACTTGGAAAATAGGCCGAGTGCGAAAAGGGTTAAGGAATGAGGGCGTGGAGGGATAGTCACATTTTCCTCGAGTTTACACCGTTCTGTCGAGAACACGGCTTCAGCTTTCTTGCAATTTTCGCAATAATTGCAGTTTTCTGAAGTTCGGTTATTTGGTGATCGTGGGGTAGTGTATCAGAATCGTACCAACAAATTTCGATTTTTTTTTATTTTGGCCAGGAAAATGGGTTTTTGTCCCACTGTGCACTGGGACGAAAAACAACTCGAAACTTTCCGCATTTCTACTTTCCCATGTTATAGACTCGATTGGTGAAACTATTAATGTTTAATTATTGACCAACTCTCCCATCGAATTTAAAAGTTGTTGAGAATCTTTAACACCCCAAAAAATCATTGGTTCATAGATGCATGGACACGATTCCCTCCCTCCCCTTTCCCTTTTCCTTTCCCCCTTCCCTTTCCCTTTCTCCCTTCCCTTCCCCGTGAACTTGACATTGGTATCGCGATTCCCATCGATTATTTTCTAATTGAATTTTCCTAACGAAGATAAATGTTTATGGAATTTTTAGGCCTGGTTTTTGCTCCCTCTTCGTACGGCTTTAATTCGCGGCACGAAGGAACTCGTACGGACAGAGAGGAAGGAAGTCGGCACGTGGGAACTGCGGGAAATTTGATTTCCTCGATGACGAAATCGAAGCCTCCATTTCTCGGCACCCGTTTGCCTGCAAGAAGACGATCTCGACCGTGTGCCGTTCTCGCCGTCGTCCGACTGCATCCCGAATCTCGTGGGGTCGTGAGGCGGTCGAGCACAGGCCGTCGGCGGATTCATCCACCTGTTCGTCGCGAAACGAGGCTTCGCGTGGCCGAGACGAGGATGTCGTCGAAAACGTCATCCTCGTTGCAACACGTCGTAGCCTTCCGATGTCGATCGCTCGTCTGACTCGTCGTCGGTCGCAGAAACAAGGCCGTCTTTCTCTGATGGAAAACGACGGGGGGCTTTTCTATCTTCGATGAAATCATTTAAACAAAAGTTTACTTAACATATCGTGCCCTTTTAAGTAATTTTCTTTCGAGTCGGTATCGGCACGATTACGACCTGCATGGGAATTCCCGAAGCGCACGAATCGCACGAGGTTTTCGTGCGGAGATCGTGTGCCGAAAACGGCGAAACCCTGCGATCGAGATTCCACGCGACGGAAAAAGCGAGCGCATTTCACCGTTTGGGTCGACTTGTCGGGCGAGTTTGAGGGCGTCGGAATTGGCCAGGTCCTCGGTGGCGGAAGTCACGGCCAGGATCAGCGTGTTCTCCGGCTCGATGTACTCCAATATCATGTCCCGGATCTGATGGGGAAGGATCGTAGAGAGAGAATTCCGAGGATTCCCTTTTTCTCCCGGTTCGCCGCGATCGTCGGTGCGGAAAGAGAAAAGGCATCAGAACGACGATCTGGCGTCTAGTGGTTCGTCGCACCTTAAACGCATTGGGGATCCATTTTTTTTTTCTCCCCGTGGCACCACCGGGTCCGATACGTTTCCATGAGATGCACACGGTCGTCACGATATGGATCGTGTGACCGATTTACATCGATGAGCGATCGAATGGTAAATGTCACACGAAATATAATTTTTAACGATCGCGACGCGTCGGAACGTTTCCAGGCAAAGGCTTTTGATGGTCTCTTACTCGACGGACCCCCTTCTTCCCTCCTTCCCTGGAGCAGGACGAGACGCTTGGACTTTTAATTTTGGACGCGTCTCGTCGACCCTCATCACGTCGGTCGTTTACATCGATGCGACGTTTTTGCGATTTCGATATCGATCGGCATGGAAACGGGTAGAACGCACGAGGGAGAAAGCGGGAGTCGCCTTTTCAGATTCCAAGGCATCGCGGAAGGTGACGGAAAAGGGGGAAAGAGGGGAAAGAGGAGAAAGAGGAGAAAGAGGGAGCGGGACTCACGAGTTGTTCGATGTTGTCCGGTTGGTTCCCGACCGGTACCTTCGTCATTCCGGGAAGGTCCACCAGAGTCAGTTGAAGAACTGTTCGCGAGAGCAAACATCCGGAAATGAGGGAAAACGAAGAAATGGGGGGGAAAAGGAAGGTCGGACTCCGTTTGGGACGAGACCGTGAGGAGAATAGAGGCGGAGATTGATCGGTTTGCTGGAGATGGCCTTGTCCCCGGATTCTTTCTCGGTCGCGTCCGCGATCTCTTCTCTCACTTCGACGTAATCCGTGTACTTCTCGTTCGGTCGGTGCAGGAACTCCCCGTATTCTGTCCGGACGAGAGATCGCACCGAATAACGATCGACGTCGGGATCGTCTCGTCGCATCTGGACTCTCCCGGCGCGACCGCTCGAATCTCTCGCGCTTTTAAATATTCTCCCGAGACGTTTTCGTCGAAAGAAGACTCGAGTTCGTTCGCGGCGTCGAGAGTCCGGGCACGTTGCCGACGATCTTCGGACGCCCGAAAATTCGGACGAAGTCATCGACCGACGTTCGAAGGCGCCCTCCGAGAGTCCGGAGAAGGAAACGATCGTCGCGGTGAATTCTTCCATTTACCGATCTTTGACTCGTTCGTCCTTCTGCCGTCGTTCGGGCGACCGTACGTCGTCCGGGGTGCCTGTTCTTTAATAACCCTTTCGCCGAGGATCGAATTTTGGCTATGAGGTTTAAAATTGTCAAATTACGCTGCGAAGGATCATAAATAATGGAAAGCGACCGAAGTCGCTTTCCGCAGCGAAAGGGTTAATGAGGACATTTTTCGTTTTATTAACCCTCTCGAGACTCCAACGACGTACGTCGTACGTCGAGCGAGCGGAGTCTCACCTGTACCGGCCCGACGTACGACGTGCGTCGTTAGAGTCTCGAAAGGGTTTAAAGAAAAGGACTTCGAGCGCGAAGCAGCGAAAGGTGAATCGGGTGGAATTCGCCGGACGGACCTTCGTCGTTGGGGATCATCTGAAGGATGAGCGGACGTCGAGTCACGATTCCCGTTCCTCTCGGCAGAAAATCCCTGAAAGTTCGACACCATTTTCCGAATAGACACGTGAACGGTGCATCTTGCGGTTCGCCGTCTTCGGACTCGAGTCGGAAGCCGGTAACGGATCGATCGTCGGTGTCGATACGGCATTCCGGCGCATCGGAACGTTCGTGAACGCATCCGACGGCAACAGCCATCGTCGAACTCCCAAAAAATCCGATAGCAATTTCGACTTCGAGCCCGTAACGACGACGCTCGGTCTTCTGCTTTTTCTCTCGACGACGATCGACGATCGGTGCAGAAATAGGCGATACGGCGTCGCAGCGGTCCGGTGAGTCGTCGGTGCGTTCGGCTGGAATGCGAAATGCCTCCGGCGAGGAACCTCTCCGAGTCGACGTTCGCCACGGTGAGATCTCGTTTGCGTCGGAATCCATCGACGTCTGCCCGACCGACGATCGACCGTCTGTTGCCGACGGAGTTCGGCATCCCCGGACCGCGAGCGAAACGAGGAACGAGAACCGAAACGAGTCCGAGACGGAAACCTCGGGAGAGGACGAAACGCCGCGAACGGTACCTGCCGGCGACGGCCTCGAGGACGGAAGACTTCCCGGCGCTCTGTCCTCCGACCACCGCGATCGTGGGCAGTTGGAGGTTCAAATCGGAGGATGTCGAGGCGAAGGCATCCTGCAGCCTGTTGATGACCGTCACCAGTTCCCTCATCCCCTCGTTGGAAGACATCCTTCTCAGACCCCTTTCTCTCTCTTTCCTCGGATCCGCTTCTCTCTTCGTCGCCACCGACTGCATTCCACGGGAGACCGAGTCGTGTCATCGGTTCCGTTCTTTCCGACGGTCGGATGCGTTCGTCATCCGGTTTCCATGGAAACCGGACGTCGGGGCGCGGCAACTCCCTCGGGGCGATCAAGGAAGAGTTTCGATCGAACCGCACCCTTCCCGTATCGCTCCGAGAGAAGACAGATCGACGAAAATAAAAATCCCATTCCGGTTTTCGATGCAACGACGAGAGGAAACGACTACCGTAAAGGACTTTTCCCCGTCTCCGTAACCTGCGTCGTGCGATCCGGAACGAATCGAACGGTCGGGCTGCGAGCACGGTCTCGAACGACCCAGACCTTCGACGTTCTCGGAGGGCGAATCGTCGGGCCTCTTCGCACCGTACGGTGCGAGAGCGATCGGAAGCGAGAAGAGACGGCCGAAAGAGGAGGAATTCGGGCGAGGGAACTCGCTCGGGTCTCCGGACGGATGGTCTCCGCGTGCTCGTTCGTGACTCGCAGGACGCGAGGACGTTAGGAAACCCAAACGGGGAATCCTCGTCTCGCCTCGCACGGTGGACGGTGAGCGGCGGGTGACACGCGTGCCGCCGTTCGAGGCACGAAATCCGAAGGAATGGGACGACCGCGTCACGATCCAGTACGTGCGATCGTGCGTCCGTTCGTCGCCGTGCCCCGTGGCCCGTCCCCCTTCCCCCGTCCCCCGTTTCCGGTCCGTCGTCATTTCCCGTCTCGTGGATTCTCCCACCCGCGTGCATGCGTTCGTTCTGTGCGGTGCGCAGGACGAACGGATCCGACGGGATCCTCGAGAACGCCACGAAAGAGAACGACCGACGGTAGAAAATATTCACGGAAAGATCCGAAAGAGCTCCTTTCTCTCGAACTCAAAGGATTCCGCGAAACTTCCTTTCGGAATTCACTTTTGTTCTGAAAATAGATCGGTAGGTGGAATCGCACGGGTCCGAAAAAAAACCCCCTCGCAGACTCGCAGCGCCAGAAGAACGGTTCGGGCGCTGTGACGTGCGAGAGCCAGCGGTGCGCACCGGCGCTCGTTCCGCTTCCATTCGAATGCGTCCGATGCGGAAATCCGACCGATCTCCGCTTCCGATCCGTTCCGAGAACACCGCGGAGCAGGGGTGCACGACATACGGCCCGCGAGGCCCTTGCTTGCGGCCCGCCGTGACCGGTGGCGTCGCGAGTGCCACTACGGTGTCTTTCGCTCGAGTTAGACACTTTTCGCTTAAATTCGACACCTATGCACGAGGAACGTCCCACGCACGCGTGTCTCGGTCGAGCGAAAAATCGTCTAACTCGAGTGAAAAACACTTCGACTCCTGCCCCGTCGGCTACAGCTACGGTCAGCCAGACCGCGACCCCGTGCGGTATGTGATTAAAAGTCGTAAGTGGCCCCCATGGTCTTTGGAGTCGTGGCCTGCCGTAGAGTCTGGCATAGAGCGTATAAATGGAGGGGTCTCCCCGGGTCTCCCCCATGGCGCGAGGCGCTGCATCCTTCCGGGCGCGGCCGCTACCTTAGGATCGCAGTCGCACGAGGGAGGGAATAGCAGACACATGGAAAAGGGGGGGGGTCATATAGAAACGATGCAGTCTCGGGGATTCCATCGTTCGTATTAAATTTTATCCAAAAGATCACCGACTCGAAGAAGGAAGTCCGGTAGGAGTTCGGGTCTGTCCGCGGTCACGGTCGGGATCTCGTCGCGAGAGAGGTCGATGGCGAAGCGTCGATCCGACGATCCCGCCTTCGACTTCCCTCTGTCGAGTGCGATCCTTCTTGCGTGCGTCTACGAGGACACTCTCCCCGGCCCTCCCCGACCGTCCCCTCCCCTCCCCGATCCTCACCGACCGTCCCCTCCCCTCCCCGATCCTCACCGACCGTCCCCTCCCCTCCCCGACTCTTCCACACGCGCGAGATCTCGACCGCGCCCGCAATCGAATCGGAAGCAAAACGGAACTGGAGTTTTCGGCTCACACCCCGACCTCCACGGTCGAGGAGGTCGTCCGCGGAGGTTTCCCCTTCCCTCGTTTTCGCTCTCCGAGTGGCGACGGGACGAAGGGAAGTTTCCTCTTCCCGAGAAGCGTCGAAGGACGGAGTCTCGCGGGCGAAACCGAGTCCTCGATCGTTCCTCGAAAGACCCGAAGACCGACCGCTCGCATCGAGCAGAAATCGGACGGAGCGCGTCCCCGAGACGAGATCGCGCCGCATCCGGGGCGCGTCCGAGGACGAATGCGTGCGAAGCGAGACGGAAGTGTGAGAAACCGCGATTCCCGTCCGTCGGGGACGAAGGACCGCAAAGGGCCGCAAAGGACACGAGAACCGAGTCGGCAGGCAGACCGCATCTCTTTGCGTCGAGTCGTAAAAATTCGCTTCCTGAATGAGATAAGTATCGCGATCCTACCGACGCACTAGAATTTTCGATAACTATGGGATGATGGATGATATTCGTTTCACCTGCCATCGATCCTCGAGACGGTGAACTTCTTCCTCCTCGTCGAA